TAGCATAGCGCAACATAGCATAGCATATCATATCATAGCATAGTATAGCGCAGCATAGCATGGCATAGCATAGCATAGCAACTAATGCTGCTCTCCTAGGGGCTCCAACTTCTAGGTCGGGTCGCACTGGGGTAATCTTTTTAGGGCTGTAGGGCTATAGGGTTACAGGGCTATATGGGCTCTTGGGCGCTATATGGGCTATATGGGTTATAGGGCTATAAGGCTATAGGGCTATAGGGCGATAGGGATATAGGGCTATAAAGCTATAGGGCTACAAAGCACCGGGCACCGGGGCACCGGGGAACCGGCACCCGGGCACCCACCCGAGCACCAAGCACCCGTCACCCAGGCACCCGGGCACCCGGGCATCCGGGCACCCGGGCATCCGGGCACCCGGGCCCTGCCACCGAATCGGCGGCGAACCCGGGCGCCCGGGCACCCGGGCACCTGGGCATCTGGGCCCGGCCACCGAATCGGCGGCGAACCTGGGCACCCGGGCACCCAGGCACCCGGGCACCCGGGCACCGGGGCCCGGCCACCGAATCGGCGGCACACCTCACCTACCCTTAAATCCGCCGACCCTGTCGGCGTGTGTGAGGGGCTTTTCCGTTCGAGCCGTCATCTCCGTCATTCTTTGTACTCGTCGTCTCTGTCCTTCCCTTTCCCTGGGAGACCTCTTCCCCTGGGCTCCAGCCAAGCCGACCTTGAGCAACCTCGTAATTGAGTCGAAGGGAAGCCCCTTCCCTTTGATCCCTCCCCCGCCGGGAGGGGGGGGGGGGTAGCGACCCCCCCCCCGGGTCAGATACGACGCCCCCCCCTGGGACTCCTCTTCCCCTGGGCTCCAGCCAAGCCGACCTTGAGCAACCTCGTAATTGAGTCGAAGGGAAGCCCCTTCCCTTTGATCCCTCCCCCGCCGGGAGGGGGGGGGGTAGCGACCCCCCCCCCGGGTCAGATACGACGCCCCCCCCTGGGACTCCTCTTCCCCTGGGCTCCAGCCAAGCCGACCTTGAGCAACCTCGTAATTGAGTCGAAGGGAAGCCCCTTCCCTTTGATCCCTCCCCCGCCGGGAGGGGGGGGGGGTAGCGACCCCCCCCCCGGGTCAGATACGACGCCCCCCCCTGGGACTCCTCTTCCCCTGGGCTCCAGCCAAGCCGACCTTGAGCAACCTCGTAATTGAGTCGAAGGGAAGCCCCTTCCCTTTGATCCCTCCCCCGCCGGGAGGGGGGGGGGGGTAGCGACCCCCCCCCCGGGTCAGATACGACGCCCCCCCCTGGGACTCCTCTTCCCCTGGGCTCCAGCCAAGCCGACCTTGAGCAACCTCGTAATTGAGTCGAAGGGAAGCCCCTTCCCTTTGATCCCTCCCCCGCCGGGAGGGGGGGGGGGGGTAGCGACCCCCCCCCGGGTCAGATACGACGCCCCCCCCTGGGACTCCTTTCCCCTGGGCTCCAGCCAAGCCGACCTTGAGCAACTCGTAATTGAGTCGAAGGGAAGCCCTTCCCTTTGATCCCTCCCCCGGGGAGGGGGGGGGGGGGGGTCGACCCCCCCCCCAGATACGACGCCCCCCCTGGGACTCCTCTTCCCCTGGGCTCCAGCCAAGCCGACCTTGAGCAACCTCGTAATTGAGTGGGAAGCCCCCCCTTTGATCCCTCCCCCGCCGGGAGGGGGGGGGGGGTAGCGACCCCCCCCCCGGGTCAGATACGACGCCCCCCCTGGGACTCCTCTTCCCCTGGGCTCCAGCCAAGCCGACCTTGAGCAACCTCGTAATTGAGTCGAAGGGGGAAGCCCCTTCCCTTTGATCCCTCCCCCGCCGGGAGGGGGGGGGGGGTAGCGACCCCCCCCCGGGTCAGATACGACGCCCCCCCCTGGGACTCCTCTTCCCCTGGGCTCCAGCCAAGCCGACCTTGAGCAACCTCGTAATTGAGTCGAAGGGAAGCCCCTTCCCTTTGATCCCTCCCCCGCCGGGAGGGGGGGGGGTAGCGACCCCCCCCCCGGGTCAGATACGACGCCCCCCTGGGACTCCTCTTCCCTGGGCTCCAGCCAAGCCGACCTTGAGCAACCTCGTAATTGAGTCGAAGGGAAGCCCCTTCCCTTTCATTCCTCCCCCGCCGGGAGGGGGGGGGGGGGGTAGCGGGGGGGGAAGCGACCCCCCCCCCGAGTCAGATACGACGCCCCCCCCCCGTACCGACCTTGAGCAACGTTGTCATTGAGTCGAAGGGAAGCCCCTTCCCTTTCCCTTCCCCGACGGGGGGGGGGAGAGGAGGTCCCGGGGGGGGTCCCGGGGGAGTCCCGGGTCAGATACGACACCTCCCTCCCCCACCTTCCCGTCCTTCTCCCCGTTCCCCCAAACCATCCCACAGCCCGTGCCTCTTGCTGCGCATTGCGAACAGGGTCGGCCGGCACCTACCCTTAAATCTGCTAGGACCCCTACAGAAGCAAGCTCTGATTTGGGAGCTACTCGCTCCTCACTACTCAATACCCACTACTCGCCACTCCCTACTCGATACTCACCACTCCCTACTCTACTCACTACTCACTACTGACTGCTCCCTCCTCACTACTCACTACTCACAATGCCCTATTCGCTACTCGCTACTCCTTACTCGCTACGCACTACTCCCTACTCACAACTCACTACCCACTAGTAACTACTCACTACTCACTACTCACTACGCACTACGAACTATTCACTACTCATTATTCACTACTCCCTACTCACAACTACCTACTCTCAAGTCGCTACGCAGTACTCACTACTCACGACTCACTACTCACTATGCGCTACACACTACTCACTACTCACGACTCATTACTCACCACCAACTACTCACTACCCACTACTCAATACTCCCTACTCCCTACTCTCGACTCAGTACTCACTACTCATTATTCACTACTCACTACTCGCTAATCAGTTGTCATCACTCACTATACACTACTTTGCAATTCAGTACTCAGCACTGGATATCACGACCCACTACTCCCCACTCCCTACTCCCGATGCCCTACTCGCTACTCAGTACCCACTAGTCATTATTCACATTTCACTGCGCACTACTCACTGCTTACTACACTTCTTCTTACTTACTCCGCACTTCCTACCCACCTTCTCCGGCGCAGAAATGACAAGCGGCAGAAGCCCCATCCCCCCCTCCCTGGCCCCCTGTTCGGCGCAAAAGGGGGGAAGTGGGGGGGGTTCGAACCCCCCTCCCTTTCCAGCGCCAAGGGTGGAAGGGAGGGAAGGGGGATGGGGGGTTCGGACCCCCCCCCCGCCCCTTAAGGGGGGAAGGGGGTTCGAAAATCCCTCCCCACCCCCCCTTGAAATTGGGGGATGGGGGGGTTTCTGCAAGGACGCACCCCCTTTTCAATTACAGGGTCATCCAGTGGCGAGCTTTCCAAAAACCAAAACCCACCAACACTACACCACAATCTACCACAGCACTACCACCACCGCCAGAACCACCACCACAATTAGCAGCACAACCCACCGCCACCACCACAAACCACCACACCACCACCACCACCGCCGCCACCACCACCACCACCAGCACCACGTCCACATACCACCGCCACACCACCACAAACCACCACCACCACCACCCCCACAAACCACCACCACCAGACCACCACCACACCGCCACAACCATCACCACCACAATCCACCATCACCACCACCACCACCACAAAAACCCACCACCACTACCACCACCACCACCACCACCACCACCACCACCACCACAATCTACCACACCACCACCACCACTAGTAGCAGCACAACCCACCGCACCATCACAAACAACCACACCACCACCACCACCGCCGCCACCACCACCACCACAACCCACCACCACCACCACCACCACTGTCGTCCTCGTCGACTCTCCCCGCCGCCGCCGCCCGCCGCCGCAGGCGCCGGCGCCGGCCCAGAAAAGGAAATCGTCGTCCCCGCCGTCGCCGCCAGCCGCCGCCGACGCAAGCGCCGGCCCGAGGAGAGGAGGGGAAGCAGGGGAGGGAGGGAGGGGGGTGGGGGGGTTCGGTTTCACCCCCCCCCCTCCAAGCGACCACAGAACGCGCTCTTTCTCACCTCTGGATGTTTCAAATGACTTCGGACGAAGCCTCCAAGTTGGCCTCAAGACGACCGAAATGGTGTCAAGGTCGACCAGGATGGCCCCTAAACGCACTCCAAGACGGCCCAACACGACTAGGAAGACGCGCGATCTGACCTCGAGCATGCCCAAAATGGCTAGACGGCTCCAAACGAACACACAAGACCACCAGCAGGCCTCCATGAGGCTCCAGGAGGCCACTTCATCTTCTTCGTCTTCCTCCTCCTCCTCCTCCACTTCCTCGTCCTCCTCCCGTGCTCCTTCCCGTCTTCCTCCTCAAAGGGTTTCCACAACGGATGGGGGAGCACATAATCAAATTGCTTGGCCAAGCTTTGGCCCACTATTTAGCCCAACTTTTGGCCACATCGGCGTCTTCAGAACGGCAAGAGGGGCGGCTGTGACTCGTCGAAGACGTCCTCGATTAACGTGACGAGTCCGAGCGATCTAACGCTGCCCCCAAATGCGTGGCTGAAGTGGGGCTCCGCGGTGCGAGTTGTTGTTCGTGTTCTTGGTGTTGGTACTGCCTGCTCGACCCACTTCGCGACCCGCCCCGCGACCTGCCAATGGCCAGTCTGCGACCTTGTCCGCGACTTGCGACCCGCTGCCACCTCGGCCCGCCTGGATAAGCCCGCAAACGACCTGCACGCGACGCGCTTGCAACATCTTGCAACCCGCGCCCGCCGCGTCCCGCACCCCCAATATCAATCGTGAACGTTCATGTTTACATTCTGCAGGTACGCATCAACGTCCCCAACACCTCAGAATAGCCACGTGCTGCTGCCACGTCTGCCTGGTAATGCTGCTGCTGCCCATCCTCGGTGTACGTGCTCAGCAACACTTGGAGCTCCTGAAATGCACGGAAGATGGCTTCCCTGCCAAACGCATCCTATGCGCAGATCAAGACCGTGAGAATGGGCGGCAAGGCGCCGTGAGGCATGCAAGATATTTCTTGATGTCGTCGCGCTTCTGCGGATGCGTCTGCCGATTCTCGCGAGGGAAGTCCGCGTGCGTGAACATCCGCTGATGTTTTTTCGGGGCAGTGTCGTTTACGCGGACGACAAAGAAATCGGTCAATATCTTCTTGTTCGGCTTCCCCTCGACCAAAAAATCCGGCAAGAGCTCGTTCTGATTGCCGTTTTGTGCTTGGAGGGATGGGGGGAGAGAAAAACAGGACGAGGAGCGGGAGCAGGGCGGGGGAAAGGGGAGGGCATAGGGGAACAAAAAGGACCCAACGTCTCATGCGCATTCGGGAAATGGGAGCTGCGTACATTTGAGAAGGTGGCGGATGAGCATGAGCAGGAGGAATATGAGGAAGGAAAAGGACGAGGACGATCAGTAGCAGCAGGAGCTGGAACAGGAGTGGGGGTAGCAGGAGGACCAGGCGAAGGCGAAGAAGGGGAAAGGAGGGGGGCGACAACACTGAGGACAGGCTCGGATCCATGTAGTAGCGGCCCGCGCCTGGGCGGGAGCGTCATTCTGAACGACAGGAGCATAGCTCCGATCCTAAAATGAGGGAAACGCTGCAGCGGCATCACCAGCTTGAAACACCGAAAACGTTCAGATGGAAATACACAGGAAACACCAATGTTGAAAACCCTGTGCGTGAGACAAGAACTCGAGGAGGGGGCGGGCCCCTCCCCAGCCAACTCCGGGGGAGAGAGGAGAAGAGTATTCATGCTGTGTGATTGTGGAAGGAAGGGGGGGACAGTGGACAGAAGGGAGAGGGCGGGTAGGAAGATGTGGCAACATGCAGAGTGGAAGCAAAAGAAAAGGAGGGGTTGGGATGATAAGCAGGGCATCTCCACCTCTGGGATGGGTGGGGGAAACAAGAAAAACGAAACAACACGGAAGCCGCTTCGTTGCTCCGCGAGGGGGCTGCCACAAATGTCTTAGCCCACCCGATTGCTGACGCATCGTCGTTTGAGCATCCCCAAACATGTGGTTTTCGTGGCCGGTAGCTGTCTGCACATGTTGCTTGACATCGTCGCGCCCCCGCGATATGTGACGCGCTGTTATCTTCGAGCCCTGGCGCCGCCCCGCTGGAGACGGGCAGCCGCTCTGATGCAGGCCTCGGTGCGCGAAGCGCGGTTATCTCCGCTCTCCTGGGGGGGGGCTGGGATATCCAGAAGGAAAGGGTGCGGGAGAGGGGGCGGAAATGGTGGATGGGGGAGGGGGTGGGGACAGCTCAAACCGTGCTGCAGCTGCTCCTGGAAAAGGCTTAGGCCCAAAGTTCTCTTTTGAAAGTTTAACCCCAGGATTTGACTTGAGGTGGGCCGGCGAATTGTTTTGCGACAAAGAACGGGGTGAAGACCCATGCTGTTTTTCAAAAGTTCATTTCGCGCGTGCCCACTCGGGGAAAATGCGCCCGCCATCCATCCTGGATCCTCGATAAATAACGGGGTACGCAGACCAGCGTTCTCCTTTGCGCAACATTCTCGACAAGTGGCAAAGTCTGGTTGCTGGATTTTTTCCATAAAATGAAGCCAATAAACATTGTGCGTGGTCGCTCCAGGATGGCGCGCCCTGCGCGCCGAATCCACGAGGATGTCTTGAGCGCAAAGCTTGTTTTGCACAACTTGAAAAGGCCTGGGCGCCCCATGATGTCCAGGTGGTTCTGGGAGAGTGGAAGCACCGTCATTTGCCAGGGATCGTGGCCATAGGGCCGCAGACGCTGAGCAATCTACGAAGGATCCTGGCCCTCGGAGCGCGGACACCGTGTAACTTACAAGGGATCGTGGCCCCGGGGGCGCGGACGCAGCGTAATTTACGCAAGGTCGCGGCCCTGGAAGCGCGGACGCCGTGTAAATTAGGAAGGGTCGCGACACGACTTCGCAGGAGAGCCCAGAATCGAATCGATAAGTGAGAACGGCGATTAAAATGAGTCGGATCGGCAGAAATCGGCAGCCAAGTCGGGAGAAGTCGAATCGGCAGAAATCGGCAGGCTTGTAGGCCTCCAGTGAAGATCGACACCCAAATCGGAATCCGAAGTCGAATCGAATCGGAATCGGAGGGCATCGAAATCGAATCGAATCGAATCGAATCGGAGGAATCGAAACGAGCCCTGACTTGGCAGAGTGGGCCGACAGGGAAGGCGTCGTGCTGCCGCGGCACCAGCGCGGGCGGCCGCGCGGGCCCCTGGCTGAGGCCCAGGTGACCTCGGACGTCCGCTTCGCACCTGGTTCGGGGGCCTGCGCCGCTCTCCCAACGCCGCCACTGCCCACAACAATTGCGCATCCAGCTGGGCCAACGGTGCGGTTCGTGGAGGGGGCGGGAGCTGGAGTACTGAGTGCTGAGTTCTGATCGACAGAGATGGGTGCGACAAGTGCTGCTTGCATTCAACATATCGGTAAACGCACGCCCTATTGACCCAATTTCCTCGCACACCGTGTCTGGGCTTTTCGCCCGCGTCTCCGTGCTTCCTCCCGCGCTGTCTGGGCTTGTCGCCCCCCTGGTTACCTGTTTTCTCCCGCGCTGGTCGGGCTTCGCCCTCGGGGCTCCCTGCCACTGGTCGGGTCTCCGCCCTCTGGGCTCCCTGCCCGCCTACTAATGTCCGTTTCGCCAGTCCTGGCCGCTGCCTCCCGGTTGCCCCCGCACAGAACAGGTCGCCTTGCGTATCCTTGACCGCCACCCGGCTTCTTGGGTTGCTGGTCTGCTGTGCTTAGACTGCCTCCCGGATCACGTACAAGGTCTTTGGGCCTTCTCTGTGTGGTGTCCCGATTCTCTATTGGCTTTCACCCTGAATGCATCTCCAGCTGCGCGCCCCAGCTTTGGGGGTGTACTCAGTCTAACATCTGGCCATTTCAAAGATTTCCTCTACACGTCTGGCTGATCGTTTTGAGCGAGATTGTTTCCAACGCCCTTCCTGTTTTCGCGCAATACCCGGTCTTTCAGCCATCTGGCCCTAAGGTCTTCCTCTTCAAATCTCGGTTCCTTCTTGCAACACGTGGTTTTGATGCGGCATCCCCGGCTCCCCGGACTTCCTGGTGTTCCTCGGCATCTTCAAGGTCTTCCACCTCAAGCCGGGCTCCTTGGACGTAGCCCGCATGTTTCCCTCGGCATCTTCGCGCCAGCCTTCACGGTCTGAACGGGCCCCTTCTTTCTCTTCTCGCGTTCTTTTCAGGTTTGCTTTCATGCCTCAATTTGCCTCTGGTGCATCCCGCCGCTCGCTTTGACCAGCGCCTGACCGTCTCGCACCACATGGCTCCCGCGGACTCCAAAACGTGATAGAAAGTTCAATAGTAAGGCGGGGGGGCGGAGGGGCGTCACGTGAAGTGGGTGCTAAACGTTTGTAACATGTTTTCCTTCAACGCTAGTCGCCTCAAACTTCGCGCCCTCGCGCACCGCGATGCGCGGTCATCTTCGCGCCCTCGCGAGGCCACCTTGGAGAAGGGAGGAAACGCGATCATCTCCGCGCCCCTGGGGATGGCCAAAACGAAACGTGAATGGGGAGACGGGAGCCGAAGATCGAGGCAAGGGTGAGGGCGTGGGCCGTGGCGGAGACGCGCGCACAAGCCTTCTGCGCCTCGCGCACCACGCAGTGCTTCCTGTCAGCATTGTCGCTGAGGATCCCGTCCCTGACCATGCAGGTGCACTGGTCGGATATCATGAAAGGGTTCAGGCACGGGCTGCCACCCATGTTGGGGTCCTCCCATCCCCGAAGGCATTCGATCAGCAAGCCGCGATCGACTTCAATCCGCCCTGCACCTCCTCCTCCTCCTGCTCCTGCTCCTCCCGCTCCTTCTCCTCCCGCTCATCCTCCTCATCCTCCTCCTCCTCGCTCGCTCGCTCGCTCGCTCGTTCACGCACACATCTTTGCATCAGCGGGCCGCTGGGACACTCAATCTGTTGGTCAACTGACATCGCTTGATGCGAGTTCGTACTCGAAAGCCGGAACGGTGAGCTGTAGGTGTTATTAGTCGCAACGCAAGCCTCAATCAACTTGCCGACGTAATCGGTCGTAGCGTACCAAGGGTGCCACATATCTCGGGAGCGAGACACAGAGGAACTCAAGGCGCGCCCGCACACGCACAACATACACATTCAAGAAAGGAGCGGGTCAGGGGTGACATTGACGCAGAGCAGTCTGATTTCCCTGTACCCGTGAGCGAGAGACAGCGCGCCTTGCTATATTATCCGGCGCACGTGTAATATGTGCGAGCTCGGTTTCCGAAACCAGTGGCCGCGTTCAGGCCGTATTTGGTTCGAGTCGCCTGTCTTCTTCGAGTTATCGAACTTCAGCCACTTGCCACACTACTGGTAGACACGCCAGCACGCGGGGCCGTGCCGCGCCACGCCGCCCGCGTCAAAACGTTAGTGTATAGGGTAAACAACGACCAGCAACGAGGCTTCCAGCGACGTTGCTTGCCGCGGGTCAGCGGTATCCGCACCCTGTCAGCCGCAACGCTGCACCTTGAACAATTTTTGGCTACGGAGGAAGATGATGACGTGGAGGAAACAATACTAAACACAACGTCGCTGGGCCCCTGACGTAAGAAGCACCAAAAACAGGAGGAAAGGAAAGGACGAATGTAAGCAGAGAGGCCCCATTCTCCCTTCTTCTCCGATGCTGCGGGTGAACAACTGGAAAGGAGGAGGACGAGGCAAGATAGTGGAGGAAAAGGATGGAGGGGGAGAGGAAAATGAGGAGAGAAGCCCCGCCTCGGCCTTCCAATCCTTTCGCAGGGGACCTAGCCGACTGTACCGCCCACGTGGGTCCCACGCGCCATGACGCCGACCTCCAACTATAAACCAACGACACACAGCGGGACACCTCTTCCTGGACAGACTGGCAACCCTTGCAGCCCAACCAATGATCTGACTGTCCCGCGATAGGCAGCAAGAAACATAAAAAGACGTGTTGTCCGATTTCGGAACAGACATCAACATCAGCTTCACAACTTGGCGGAACGGCTTTTTGCATGATTCGTGCAAGCTTCCCCGGTCTCGAACAGTCCACCTCTGCGGCTGCGCAACTCAATCATCCTCTCGCTCTGCTCCGCTTACCTGTTGCGCCCCCCAGTCCCCTGCACCCCCGTCCGGGCGAATTGCGCACGTGACAAATTTCGACAACCTGAAGCGTATGATTGCCATCGAGCTGCAAGCAATCGACAAAACAAGCAATCGAACACGAGCTCTCACGATCACCCCTTTCATCCCGCACTCTTTTCCCGACCTCACTTTCAATGTATGCTGCCTCTAACCCCGTGTGCTGGACATAAGTATGCTGTTCTCCATGGCGCCAGGGTCTTGCTTACTATCGCTCGGCGCGTCTGTCTTGCTTGTTGCGTCTGTGCTGCTTTCGTACTCTCTCCGTCCTCCTTCATCCCTTTCCTTCCATGACCCTTGATTCATCTCTCTATCTCTCACTCTTTTCATCGTCTTGCTCTCTCTCTTTCGCTCTCTCTCTCTCTCTCTCTCTCTCTATCTCCCCCCTGAACGAAGCACATTGCCACACTCTGAAATCCGACCGTACCTGCGTAGCGTGTCATGTCCCTCCTCGCCACAAACATGCTTGAGCCGCACGCTTCGCCAAACATGCGCGGGTGCTCGCCTGTACTTTGTGAAGTGGGCGTCGGTGGAATTCTCATGCTGTAACCTTCCCATCGTCAATACCTCTGCCGGTGTGACGAGGAGCATGTCGTCCAAAATCAGGGAGGTGAATATCCAACCGATGCGTTCCAATCCGAGAGCCTGGCAAGACCTTTTCTTTTCGCGTCCTTGCTACGGAAATCCTCCGACTGACTTCACCTCTACACTCAACTGCTGCACTGCTTCATATCCAGGCTGCGACTTCGGTCACGACTCCATGACCTGCCTGGTTCAGGAGTGCTTGAGAAGTCGGGGCGAAGATATCCCTTCCTTCCCTCTCCTTCCCTCCACTCGATCGGTGCTGTCTCCTTGTGCCCATGACAGAAACTGGAAGCGAACGACTGCCAACCACGGTGAACACGAGAAGCTCTCTGGGGAGGGAACCTGCGGGCGAGAGCCGGGGATAGCCAAAGGCGGTGCGCTAAGCATCATCAATCGTGCCTGCCGCGGCCGCGGAGCCGTGCGAGTCAGAAGGTGCCCGTGGCCTCGCTCACACCTCTGCGACCATCGCAGACTGCCTGGCTGGCCAAGCGCTCGAGGCTCGAGCTCACACCGCCTTCCACCCCCCCCGCCTCGGCAATCCTGTCGACCATTGCCCGCTGAGGATCATCCTTGGGCTGCGCCATCTCCCCTATCATCTCCTGGGGCGGGCCAGCAAGGGAGACGGCACAGCTCGCGGGCAGGGCTGCCTGAAGCAGGAGAGCTGGCCCTCCTCCTCCTCCTCCTCCTCCAGGATCGTATGGGTCAAGGGGAGTGAAGAAGCGGAGAAGATTCGAAAGGATGTCAGGGAGAAGGTTCGAAACATCCGCGTGTACCTGTACGTGCTCTTTCACGAAATCTCCGAAACAACAACTCTCGCCAGCAGCGCACAAAAAAGGGGTGGATATTGCTTGGCACGCGTGGTGCGTAACCCACCTTCCTCCTCGGGCGGGGCGTACATGTGGGGTAGGGGCAGACGAGGTGAGGACATACAGCTGGGTTCGTTCCCTAACTCCACCTTGTACCCCCCCCTTTCAAAAAACCCAGTCGAAAGGCTGGCCCTAATGCGGCTACACGCAAAGAGTGGCCTTGAGCAATAATGGCCTTTGTTGCGCGGCTTCAGGGAACGCGGGGGACGCCAAACCCAAGCGCGCAAGACGCTGCTGTCGCATTGCTTTGAGCGATCGGGGGACCCCCGAAACCCAGCCCGACTCGGATACCGTGATCCTGCCGACTCTGAGTTCGAGGGCCATCAGCGTGAGCTGCGAGTCCGACGACCCCGAGACCGACGCCGACGCGAAGCCCGACGACACCCAACCCGACGGCGCCCAACCCGCGCTGGTGTTGGCTTCCGCAGCCTCGCGCGCAAGCATGCGGGCTGAGAGCCGCTCGTCCTCGCGAGCTCGCCACGGCGGGGGGAGGGGCGGACGAGCGGTGGCACGTCGTCGGGGAGCGAGGGGAGAGCAGCGCTCGTGAAGAGATCATTCGAACCAGAACCCACGAGAGCGTGGATCGAGAGCAAGAGCCCCCTCGTCAAGGACACCAACCCCCGTGGATCCTGGACCGAAGGCCATTCCACGGCGGAGCGCCCAAGCACGAAGAACGTACGGGTACGTCTCCAAAGCTGCACTGAGCCCTTGTGCCACCAATACTTGTATCAAGCGCGGCCACGTGACGAGCCCCTACTGCGACGACCCGCTCAACCTCGAAGCTCCCCTGCAACCGCCTGCCCAAGCCTTGGAACGGAGGCGATGGGGCCATTATGGAAAGCGTCGGTTTGCCCAGGTTCGGTTAGGCCGCCACTGGTTGTAGTGGGGGACGGGGCGCGGCAAGCGCCGAGGCGAGGTGAGATCGTGCTTCGGAATAGGCACGGACGTTCCGAGTGGAGGAAAGCATCGGATATATCGCCCTTTCAAATCCTAGGCATGATCAACCTATACGCTGGATGGGCTGACTAACAGTGGCACGTCGCCAGGGGAGAGAAGACCAAACCGATACTGACGAAGAGGAAAGGGGACTGGAGCGGGAAGAGAGGGAAGGGGAACGGATAGAATGGGAATGCTGAGTGAAGGGGTGGGGGAGAGGAACGGGTATAGGGGGATGGAGGAGTCACGGGGGAGAGGAAAGGGGATGGGGGCTCAATGCCCCTTTCACATAGGACAGGTACATGGTGGACGCATCCTTGAGCCGACAACGCATCAGCACGGGAAGAAGCCAAGTTGTCTCAGTCACTCGCTCTCCCCATAAACGGCAACCTGGGGAGCGTCGGGGCGAATCTATGCGAGAAGCACGCGGCGCGGGTCAGGGTGCCAAGCGGCGCGTGGAAAGCACGCCAGAGACGCAGCGTCTTCTCCTGGGGCGGCTCGTAGATCCCCTCCATGATAGCGCGGCACCCCTCATCGTAATTCGTGTCCTCCAGATAATCCGCGGCCGTGCCCCAGGCAGGTGGTGGAGTGACCTCAGGGCCTTGATGGTTCTCAACACTGACGTGTGAGAGTCCCTAGTACTACAATGCGAAAAACTGTCGGCGTCTGTGAGACATTTTCCATTTGAATCGTCGTCGTCGCCGTTGCCGTCGCCGCCGCCGTCGTCGTCGTCATCACTCTCCTCCTTTCCCTGGGCCCTCCTCCTCAAGCAATCCAGCCAAACGGAAATCGAACGTCGTCATAATAAGATCGAAGGGAAGCCCCTTTCCTTTGATCCGTTTCCCGACGGGGGGGGGGTCCTGGGAGAGTCGCTGGGGGGGGGTCGTGACACCCGCCATCTCCGACCAAGACGGCTCCAAAGAGACCCACAGAACCGCCAGGGGGAACACCAATCGAGTCGAACAGAAGCTCCTTCCCTTTGATCCCTTCCCCGCCGGTGTGGGGGGGTCCAGGGAGGGGTCGCCTGGGGAGGTCCCTGGGGTGTCCCGAGGCAAGCAGGGCCCACAAGGGCCCCCTTGAGGGCTTGCGCGCGTCGTCGTCGCCGTCGCCGTCGTCGTCGTCGTCGTCGTCGTCGTCGTCGTCGTCGTCGTCTTCGTCGTCGTCGTCGTCGTCGTCGCCGTCTTCGTCCCCGTCCAGGATTGGCGGCACCGACCGTAAGGCCTTCGCAATATTAGGATAGTTCTTTGTCTCTGCAGTCCTGTCTTCAGTTTAGTGTCCACTAGAGGGCCCACCGCGTAAAAGAGAAAGCCTCTGGGGGGGGGAGGGGCTCAAATTCCTGGCCGCTCAAAGACTTTTAGCCCAAAGTAGAACACGCTAAAAAAGTAGGAAGAACCCAAAATAGAACACGCTAAAAAAGACGCCCGGGCGTTTTTAAAGCGAACCGAGCTCAAAGGTTCCCGAGGATTCCCTCGGGGACGCCACCAGACGGCCAGGAGGGCCCACGAGGCCTCGAAGATGGCACCGGGAGGCTCCAACGAGAGCCTCAAAGGCCCAAGACGGTACGAGGGGGCCGCCAAATGCCCACTGGAGCTGTCGTGGAGGCCTCTTCGATGCCGTCTTGGGGCAACTGTGAGTACCTCTCGGGCCGTCTTGGTCGTTCGTGAGGCCGAAGCGCCGAGAACGGTAGAACAATCCAATAACTTTCATGGGCCTCAACATGGCTCCAGATGGTCCCACGTAAAACCCACGAGTACCACAGGAAGCCATCAAGAAGGCTCCTGCCTGGCCCCGAGAGCGACCGCGAATCGAACCGAAGACTGTATCTTGAGCGTTCGTCCTCTCCTCGCACCCAATATTGCTTCACGACCCCCAGCCAGCCCTCTGAGGACCCCAAAGGCCCACCAGAAGCCTCCAAAGAAACTCTCAAGAAGCCCCTCCAAACGCCCCAAGTGACATTCCCAAACTATTCAAACGCAATACATCAAGCCATCTACATTACGGCCACGCCGCGTTACATCACCGCAATGTTGCTTCCCGACACGCGGCGAAATGCTTTCCACGAACACTGGAAAACGTGTATGGCTTCGACCGTTCCTACTGCGCTGCCGACCTACAACCCAGGTGCGGTGTCGGGATGTGCCGAAGGCCACTGGATAGCCATACATAAAGCCTCTCTGGGGCGCAATCGAATCAACTCCCATTGCTCTTCCATGATCCGCCATCCCATGTTCCGCAACCCTCCGCACCTCCAAATCTCTCCCTGCGCAAGGTGTACCCAACACCACCCGCAAGGAAGCGAGCGAGGGTGCTGCGAGTGACGATCGCAAGGTCACCTCCACCTCCACCTCCACCACCTCCCCCCCCCTACTCCCCGCCCCCCTGCTCTCCTCAACCCAACCCCTGCTCCCTTCTCCCTTCCTCGCCGTCCCTTGCTCCTGGCCTGAGCCTCATGAAGCCGCTCCCGAGCCTGTCCGCGGCGCCCCCCGCTCCACTATGCTGTCTGGCTGACCCACACCCTGGCCCCTGGGAGGCCTACGCGCTGCATGGCGTTCTCGAGGAGGTGGTGCTGCCAGTACCTCAAGAATCAGAACTCCTCCTCCTCCTCCTGCTACTCCCCCTCCTGCTACTCCTCCTCATATATGTACATGTATATACACACACACGCACACCTGCTTACTTACACATATACGTATAATTATGGAGCCTCCGCAACACAGAGCTAAGGGGGATGGGGGTATATTTCACAAGGTAGGGCTAACATGAACACGAAAGCATGGAAACATGTAATCATGATACACAATGACATACATAGAACGACGCGATCGGAAAGGCCGCACACACCTATAGCTAAATATTATGTTTTGTGTTCCTGTCCTTTCGTCTGCGTGCCAAGATTCAGAAACCAATGTGCATGGCGCGAAGCGCCAATGCACTCTTGTGCATTTCTATTCTTATTTCCCAACCATCATGTGGTGTTGGGTCCTCGTTTTGAAGAGACGTCGCCCCGCGTTCTCTCCTTCCTTCCCGCTGCCCCCTCCCTCCTCCCATCATCATCATCATCATCATCATCATCATCATCATCATCATCATCATCATCATCATCATCATCATCATCATCATCATCATCATCATCATCATCATCATCATCATCATCATCATCATCATCATCGTCATCGTCATCGTCATCGTCATCGTCATCGCCATCATCATCAGCATCATCATGACCGTCATCATCCCATCAACGTCAGCGTCATCCCATCATCATCATCATCGACACCCGGTTCGGCACACCCCACACGCGTTTCGTGGCCCCATAGGGAGCTCCACCGAAGGCCCTAGTGCTGCCGCCCGCATGCGTCACGCACGCTCAATTCGGCACACCCCTCACGCGTTTCGTGGCCCCCAAAGGAGCTCTACCGAAAGCCCCAGTGCTGCCGCCCGCATGCGTCCCGCACGCCCAATTCGGCACACCCCTCACGCGTTTCGTGGCCCCATAGGGAGCTCCACCGAAGGCCCCAGTGCTGCCGCCCGCATGCGTCACGCACCAATTCGGCACACCCCTCACGTAGGGAGCTCCACCGAACGCATGCGTCCCGCACACCCATTTCGGCACACCCCTCACACGTTTCGTGGCCCCATAGGGAGCTCCACCGAAGGTCCCAGTGGGTGTGCCCGCATGCGTCCCGCACACCCATTTCGGCACACCCCTCACACGTTTCGTGGCCCCATAGCGAGCTCCACCGAAGGCCCCAGTGCTGCCGCCCGCATGCGTCCCGCACACCGATTTCGGCACACCCCCCACGCGTTTCGTGGCCCCATAGAGGCTCCACCGAAGGTCACAATGGGTGTGCCCGCATGCGTCCCGCACACCCATTTCGGCACACCCCTCACGCGTTTCGTGACCCCTCACACGTTTCGTGGTCCCATAGGGAGCTCCACCGAAGGCCCCATTGGGTGTGCCCGCATGCGTCCCGCACACGCAATTCGGCACACCACTCACATGTTTCGTGGCCCCATAGAGAGCTCCACCGAAGGTCCCAGTGGGTGTGCCCGCATGCGTCCCGCACACCCATTTCGGCACACCCCTCACACGTTTCGTGGCCCCATAGGGAGCTCCACCGAAGGTCCCAGTGGGTGTGCCCGCATGCGTCCCGCACACCCATTTCGGTACACCCCTCACACGTTTCGTGGCCCCATAGGGAGCTCCACCGAAGGTCCCAGTGGGTGTGCCCGCATGCGTCCCGCACACCCATTTCGGCACACCCCTCACACGTTTCGTGGCCCCATAGGGAGCTCCACCGAAGGCCCCAATGGGTGTGCCCGCATGCGTCCCGCACACCCATTTCGGCACACCCCTCACACGTTTCGTGGCCCCATAGGGAGCTCCACCGAAGGTCCCAGTGGGTGTGCCCGCATGCGTCCCGCACACCCATTTCGGCACACCCCTCACACGTTTCGTGGCCCCATAGGGAGCTCCACCGAAGGTCCCAGTGGGTGTGCCCGCATGCGTCCCGCACACCCATTTCGGCACACCCCTCACACGTTTCGTGGCCCCATAGGGAGCTCCACCGAAGGCCCCAGTGGGTGTGCCCGCATGCGTCCCGCACACCCATTTCGGCACACCCCTCACACGTTTCGTGGCCCCATAGGGAGCTCCACCGAAGGTCCCAGTGGGTGTGCCCGCATGCGTCCCCACACCATTTCGGCACACCCCTCACGCGTTTCGTGGCCCCATAGGGAGCTCCACCGAAGGCCCCAGTGCTGCCGCCCGATGCGTCCTGCACACCCATTTCCGCAACCCCTCACACGTTTCGTGGCCCCGTAGGGAGCTCCACCGAAGGTCCCAGTGGGTGTGCCCGCATGCGTCCCGCACGCCCATTTCGGCACACCCCTCACACGTTTTGTGGCCCCATGAGGAGCTCCACCGAAGGTCCCAGTGGGTGTGCCCGCATGCGTCCCGCACACCCACTTCGGCACACCCCTCACACGTTTTGTGGCCCCGTGGGGAGCTCCACCGAAGGTCCCAGTGGGTGTGCCCGCATGCGTCCCGCACACCCATTTCGGCACACCCCTCACACGTTTCGTGGCCCCATAGGGAGCTCCACCGGAGGTCCCAGTGGGTGTGCCCGCATGCGTCCCGCACACCCACTTCGGCACACCCCTCACACGTTTTGTGGCCCCATAGGGAGCTCCACCGAAGGTCCCAGTGGGTGTGGCCCCATAGGGAGCGCCACCGAGGAAGATATTCACAATTGCGCTACTCACAATTGCATATGGTTGGGTCCTTCGCCAGGATAATTTTTTATAACCCAGACCCCTCCCTAAAGCCGCCCCCCCAAATACACCCCCGACGACCTGTAGGAAGGTTCAAGGGGTCTTCTGGACAATTGGACGTCCCTGCCGAACTTAGCCCACATGCCCAAAACAGTCCGGCAAGCGGCCGAACGGCCCCCCGAGCATCCCAGGAGGCCCGAGACAGTCACCAGACGCCCGAAGACCACCCAAAGAAGACCTCCCAAAGGCCTCCGAAACGCACAAACATTGATTTTCCATTGTTTTCGTACAATTACATTGGGGAATGCGCTGTTCTTCGGTCATCCAAGCGTCCGACCGCCCAGGAAGCCTTAACATCGCCCTAAACTACCCGAAAGGGCTTCCAGGCAGTCCAAGAAATTCCCAAGACGACCCAACAGGGCCCCAATATGGCTCGAAGAGAGGCCCATGACGGCCCAAGATGGCGCCTAGACGTCCCCGAAGCATTCCAAAGCGTGACCTAATCGTTCAGGGAAACAGCGGTTGGAAGCAGCGTGGCCCGAGGAAGCCTACAGAGGCCCCCAGAAGGTGGCCAGGAGGCCTCCACAAGGCCCCAAGAAGTCCTTGAACACTTTCGCAAGGCCCCCCAAAAGCCCTCCAAGGATGAGCCTCCGCAAAAAGAGCTGAGGATGATGGGGAAGAATTCGAAGGGTAGGGCGAGAATGAGGAAGAGGAAGAGGAACCATGAGGGAGGGATAACGAATAACAGCATTCGAGCGACGATTTCGGAAATGCAGCAAGCAATTATCGCCAAATTGTATGTTTGACCTTCCCGCCCTTCCGCCTGTATGCCAAATTTCCAGGACCAAGGTGCATGGCGCAAAACGCCAATGCAATCTCGTGTATATATTCCCATTCATATAGTTCTATTGCCTGGGATGTCAAACGCTTTTGCCGACGCCAAGCGCTTGTAGCATCCAGTGTGTAATTTCCTGTATTGCAAACGTATGTGTTTCTTCATCGTTCGAATTTCTAGAGCCTGGTGCAGCACGATTATTGAAGCCTCTCGTGGTATAAACACCATTCGTTGCTTCTGGCCATCAGGGAACACGATCCGTTGTTCCCCCCCCTAAGTGGCGTTCGTCTTTTCGCCGCACCCCCCCCCCCCGCGCATGAACAGGAAAGAACAAGACCCCCGCCCTCCTCCTCCTCCTCCTCCTCCTCCTCCTCCTCCTCCTCCTCCTCCTCCTCCTCCTCCCCCTCGTCCTCGTCATCACCAATATCACCACTAGAACCACGCGCGCCCTTCGCGCGCGCTTAGGTTCTAGCTAGGAGGCGAGCTTGAGTCAACGAAAGTCGCAGGGAAGGGGGCAGGGGGAAGAAGGCCAGAGAGCGCTGAAGGATACAAATACTGGAACCCTCTTGTGATTTTGTGGGGGGCCTCGTCCGGCCGCTCGCTGGGAGTTTGACGTAGCTTCTCGGGAGCCTCTGAACCTGTCGGGGGCCTCCTGGAAGCAGGTTCGAAGCATTTTGGGGGCCGATTTGGGGCTTCTTCTCGGGGCCTCCTTTGGGCCTCTTGGGGGTCTCCTGGGGCCTCTTGAGGGGCCTCCTTGGGGCCTCCTGGCGGCCTCTTGGGGCGGAAGGCTCGAGCTTGCGGTTCGTGGTCCCCCTCTGGGCCCCCTCTTGGGCCCGTCTTGGGGCCCTCTTGGGCCATCTTGGGCGCCTCTTGTGCCGTCTTGGGGCCCTCTTGGGCTGTCCTGGGGCCCTCTTGGAAGCTTCTTGGGCCGTCTTGGGGCGGTCTTGGAGGCCTCTTGGGCCGTCTTGGACGCGGTGAAAGCCCAAGATGCGAACATGCGAAAAATATACGTTTTCCCATGGGAATGGCACGATTTTTGTTTCTTGGACCTCTCTTGGGGTGCCTCTCGGAACGTCTTGGGCTGATTTTGGAAGCCTTTTGGCGCCTCTGGGCGGCGTTTTGGCGCCTCCTGGGATATGTTGGGCCGGAAGCTCGGAATTCGAGTGGCTTTCCCCTTCTGGGACCCCTCTCGAACTCGTCTTGGGGTTCTCTTGGGCTGTCTTGGGGCCGTCCTGAGCCACTCGTGCGCAGCCTTGGAGCGCTCCCGGAGGCCTCCTAGGCCGTCTTGGAGGCCTCTTGGGCCGTCTTGGACGCGGTGAAAGCCCAAGATGCGAACATGCGAAAAATATACGTTTTCCCATAGGAATGGCACGATTTTTGTTTCTTGGACCTCTCTTGGGGTGCCTCTCGGAACGTCTTGGAGTGCTTTTGGGAGCCTTTTGGCGCCTCTTGGCGGCATTTTGGCGCCTCCTGGAGCCTCTTGAGCCGGAAGCTCGGAATTCGAGGTTGGCTTTCTCCGTCTGGGACCCCTCTCGAACTCGTCTTGGGGCTCTCTTCGGCCGTCTTGGGGCCGTCCTGGGCCACTCGTGCGCAGCCTTGGAGCGCTCCCGGAGGCCTCGTAGACCGTCTTGGGCGCCTCTTGGGCCGTCTTGGACGCGGTGAAAGCCCAAGAGGCGAACATGCGAAAAATATACGTTTTCCCATAGGAATGGCACGATTTTTGCTTCTTGGGCCTCTCTTGGGCTGCCTCTCGGAGCGTCTTGGAGGCTTCTGGGACCTTCTTGGTGTCATGACAGGCGTCTTGGAAGGCATCTGGAGCCATCGGAGCGCGTTCCGAAGCCGCCTGCGAACGATCTTGGACGGCGTCCGGCGGTCCGACGAGCCTCCGGGCCCCCCGGAGCCCACATTTGTGGTCGGGGTCCCGGCCCCGGGCCCCCGGACCCGGTGCGCCGTTATATGTATATACCAGACCCCATCATGGTCACCGGCCGTCATCATTCGCCACGCGCCCGCACACTCACTCTTTCCTTCCGTCGGCGGCGAGGCAGAGCTGGCTGCACCAGCGATAGAGCTAGACGGGGGCACCGAATAGCAAATTGGCCAGCATGCAAGGCGCACACTCACTCACACACACACACACACACTCACACATTCACATTGAGGAAGTCACGAGCGGGAGCCTCGTTTGTAAATGAACGGCGAAGAAATCTAGAACGGGACCGCCCTCTCAATGGAGCCCGCACTTAATGTTACTAAAACGAGGCGGCCATCCTCAAACCTGTAACTGTCGTCACGTCTGGGCTCCTGATAAAAGAACTTCGAGGAATTCTCGAGCGGTAGCCTCGTCTGTGAGTAAATGGCGAGGAAGTCTCGAGCGGGAGTCCCCCCTCCCAATGGGGCCCGCGCTTCATGTTGATAATCCGAAGCCCTCACCGGCCTACTGGTAACAATCGTCACTTTCGGGCTCCTGTTGCCTGGATCACCATTCGAATCCTATGTGACGCAAATCGTGCCCAAGAGAAGCCCACTGCGACGTAAACCGCTGTCAGACCAAAGCGATCAAGCTTTGCTCTGCTTTGAGTGCAAATCACAAAGCTTTCGCACTGTACAAAGCTGTGTTTGATGGCACAGCCCAATCTTACCCAAAGCTGTGGTTGATGGTACAGCAGAATCAATGTTCAGGCGTTACGCCATTACAAGCCAGCATAACTTCAGCCGCATGTGTTGTAAGCGCGCTTTGTTTTGCTTTATATGTATATCTGGACACACATTTACATGTATATCTATATAACCAATGTTCGCACGTCCAAGCATCATAAAAAAGCACTGCGTGGGCAGCCTGCTGTGTTGCAAACGCTGTTGCAATATTTGGGCGTCAGGCCCCTGTAACATACAATGTTCAAGGTTCCTGTCACATGTGTATAAACAACTGTTCGAACCTCAATGGTTTACGCCTCCTGTGATATAGGCACCGTTCTTTGCTCCTGATATAGCGAGACGGAATCAGGTGTGTTCCCCGCATTCAAAGTTGGGTCGTTCTTATCCCTGCAAGCCCCCGCGCAAGAACAGGCGGGAACAGGAACACCCCCTATCATGATTAGCACACCACCACCACCACCATCAGATCACTGTTATCACCATACCATACCCATCATGACCTTCGACACTAATCATCACCACCACCACCACCACCACCACCATCATCATCATCATCATCATCATCATCATCATCATCATCATCATCATCATCATCATCATGATCATCATCACCAGCATTACTATCATCACCAACATTATCATCACCAGCATCAGCACCAGCATCAGCATCAGCATCGTCATCGTCATCATCATCGTCATCGCCATCATGATCATGCTCATGACGATCATCATCATCGACATCATCATCTTCATCACAATCACCATCATCATCATCATCATCATCATCATCATCATCAGCATCACCATCGGCATCATCATCACCCCCACCTCCATCATCATCATCATCATCATCAGCATCATCATCATCATCATCACCACCGCCACCATCATCATCACCACCACCATCACCTTCATCATGATCGCCCTCTCCACCATAGCGCACTGGCACGCTCAATCACACACTGATGCACTCACACATTCATATTGGAGTCTCGAGCGGGAGCCTCGTCCACGGTCCCTTGCATATTACGCCAAGTTCGTGCACCTTTTTGCACCCCTTGCTACGCGCCTGAGCCGCACGCGCAACAGATCGCCGAAGCCACGATCTCTCGTACACTACGACGTACACGCGCTCCCTAAGCCACCATCCCTGGTAAATGACGCAAGCTTCGCGTCCCCGAGGCCACAACCCTTCGAAAGCTGCAACGCGTCCGCGCTCCCGAGGCCACAGGCCAAGCTCAATTACATCAGAGTCGCGCTCCCGATGCAACAATCACCAGTACATTGCGACAAGTTCGCGCCCTCGAGGCGACAGTCATTAGTACATTACGACACATTCGCGCTCACGAGGCTACGAATTCACCCCACTTAGGCCGCCTGAAAGCACCCCCCCCTCTCAAGGGCAAGGACATGGTAATGTTTAGCACTGGGACATGTGTTCGGGGGGCGCGGTTCGGCCACCCCGCTGTTTCCATGACATTCTGCGCTGGGTCCGCGGCCGCAATTCCCCGAACGAGGCGAAGGGTGCAAAGAACTTGACGACAGCCCCAAACGCGCGATTTTTCCCAGGATGGTCTCAAGCAGTCCCCAGTCGTTCCTAGAGGGCTTCTAATACACGAAATGAAGGAAACGCTCTGAGATGACAACGCAGTGCTCAACAACAACTCCTACCTCTCAATATGACTTGCGGATTGCCAGATGTCCTCGCACGATGTTTCCAGAGGTCTTCAAGGTGGCGCCAAGACATTCCATTATGATTGTGATGTGTCCTGTTCCGATAGAGAGGGGTCTGGCGGCGGGGGGGGGCACACATGCATACATACATACATACATGCATGCATGCATGCATGCATGCATACACATACATGCATGCATACATACATATATGTACGTACGCACGTAATCTGTATATATGTGTATAAGTGTATACACAATTAAGCGAGCCAGGTGGTTGTCGTATGAGTGTGTTTTCACGAGCGCAGAACTGTAGTGCGAATAATGGAACGCGAGCAATTGTCAACTGCCAACAACGATCCACCAACTCGCAACTTAACTGCAATACGCGGAGACGGGAAACTGCTGTGGAGGTTGGCCATTACTGAGTTTGACGTGTGACGATAGTTGGTGGATTTCGCGCGATTGCCATTGACATTATGTGGATAGACATCCTCCCAACACGCAGTGATTGAAGCATTGGGCTCGCTGACAAGAGGTCGGAGTTAGTGCTTACCAACACGTCACGATCAGGATCCATCCATTCAATGGGTGATTCAAGCATCCCTCCTCTTGAGAGAATCGGGGAACGAATATGTAGAGCTTCCTCCGCATCCTCCCCTCCTTGCGCCGTGTAGAATAACCGCCGATCCACACTCCGAGAGGGAATCCGAGGCCAAGGATATGCGTAACGGTGAAGTGGGCTGCACGAAGAGAGCAGGAACGGGAACAACTTGTCTTACTGCACATTCTCAAATTGCCACGGCCAAACAATCATGCCGAATCGCCCGTGTCCACGCTCGCCCACGGGACTGGCAACCAACAACGAATCTGATTCATCGCATCTGCCTGACCCCCCCCCGCTGCAATGAATGCGGAGAGCCAGAAGTTGCTAGACCTTTGCACGAGGCGCTTGAGAAACGACAGCCTTTCCCACACCACGCTGTCTCCTAAACTGTTACGATGTCTTCCTAGGGCTGGATCGTTGTCAATGCTGAGAGATCCTGCATGTGCATTCGAGACCTGCCAAGTCGGTAAAGATGGCCAAGGCTTACATCGGGCCATTGAAACGAAAACAGAAGACATCATCAATCAGACAACTTGATTGCAATCGGGATACCCAATGAAATTCTCGATCTCTGGAACGTTGATGACGGATAAAGTGTCCTGTCTGGTCGAATACGAAATTCACATGACACACACACACACATAAGTCGACATGTTCATCGACGGAAAGCAACCTAGTCATCGACGGAAAACAATCTAGCAACACACTATGACTTCACAACGCATGCGCGCCGTCACATACCGATGTTGTTCGAACCACATGCGCGCCTAGATCATCAATGAAACAATATCTGATGCACTTCATGAACAGCGGCAGCACTGCTGGTGTCTGCCATGTAACATTTGTTCAAACTTCGACGTATCAATAATCGTTTAAGCCATCATGCGCGACGCCGCTCAACGTATTCAAGCATCCTGAGATGAAACCGCAGAGCGCGCTGGACGATGGGGGAAGGGCAAGCAAGCTGGATTCAAACACATAGCCAACAACTATCATGGATGTGTGGAGTACCGCTTATGATAATCCTACAGTGAAACATTCCATTGGTACCAGACACGCTGGAGCGTGCCGTCTCACACCTGACTCCTCCGCCCACAACCAAAAACCCTGATGACTGTCCACGTGCCGAAATTGCTGCTGCTTGATCGAGACGGCTGGTGGTATCTTGATCATCCCGTTCTGCGTGACTCGGCTAGTCTTGTAGATCTGCGAGCCCGGAAGAGATGCTGGAGGTAGTATTTATTCGCTGGCAGAAAAGCTGACCCACTACAGCTGCCACCTCAATCTCACTTCTCCATGAGCAAGCTTCCATCCGACCACGCCCAGCCTTGTCTGATCTGTAACTTGCGAACGACACTCTAGGTTAAACTTCAGGACATCCACCTGCCAGATTTTCGGTCCCGAGATCTCTCACATCCTCAGTTTCATTGGACCCCTGCCCGACCATGCCGCCCTCTTTCTGCACCTTTCTTCAGCTCCTATCGCCGCTTCCTTCATATGTTCTACTTCCTGCCCCTTCTCCTCCCCTCCAAACCTGCCGCCATCTTCTGATTGTGCTCGTTGCTATCCTCCTTATCATCGTTAGCCTTTCTGCCTCCTTGGCCCCCTCCTCGTTCTAATTATTCTTCCCCGTCTCCTGTGTCGAACCTCCGGTCCCTCAAGTAGGCGTCGAAGCTCTGAAATTTCGGATTCACCTCACCGGGGAGTCGTGGCACACCACTGAATTCAACTCAACCGCGGGCCACGGCGCGGAGGAGACCAGCAGTCGTAAGGGAGGAGAGGGGAGAAGAAGAGAGAGCTGGGAAGGAAGGATGGATGGAGTGAGGGGAGGGACTGGGAGGAGGCCGATAGGTGTGGCAAGGAAATGTCGATGTCCACCCTTTTAATTCAACACTTTACGATTTCCACGCCCAGCCATGATAAGCTAAATCAAACCGAGCACGTGCCATCGACTCCAAGACGAGTCGAGTCTGCCTTAGGCTTGCTCAACCAATGTGGAAACCACTCGTCTTCTTTCTAATATCATGGTGCCAAGGTGTCCGAGTCGAAGAAAAGGAGGAAGAGGAGGAGCAGAAGGAAGAGGAGAAATAAGAGTATGAAAAACATTGAAGGATGGAACTCCGCGGGGCTCCCGCTTGCCTGGGAGGAATAGGCGCGTAGAATTGTTGGCCGTCACCCCTCCCGCTTGTCCCTTCCCCTGGGGTCTAAAATCCCGTTAGAGGGATGGGGGGGATGGGGGCACGAGCTCGTGAACGCACCCCCGGGGCCTCTGGAGCCTCCAAATCCAGCCTCCATCGCCTCCAAGATGCAAAAGATGCTTTCCAACGCTTTCCAACACGGCGCAAGAAGGGCACCAACGCGCCCAGATGGCTTGAAAAGCACTGAATGGGCCTCAGGATAGCCCAAGACGCCGAAAGAGGGCCCAAAAAGGACCCCCAAGAGGGCCTTCAGAGGCACAAATCATGGATGTCGTTTCGGACGTCTGCAAACCCAGAACGGCGCGAGAAGACCCCCTGACTGACCAAAGACGACCCAAGAGGCTCTCAAGAGGCTTGGCGGCGGCCCAAGAGCCCAAACACGGCCCGAGAGGCCCCCAAGACAGGAACAAAAACTTGCCTAAAGCCCCAGGGGGGGATCCCACACGGACCCTGGGAGTTGTCCCGCAAGCGTCCCGACATGATCCCAATAGAACCCCAAGAGGGCTTTAAGAGGCAAACATCACTGATTTTGACAAGGTTTTTGAATGATTTTCGCGTCCTCGCCTTCTCGCACGTCTGCAAGCCCAAACCGGCGCGATACGCCCTCCCAGACTGGCCCAAGACGGCCCAAGAGTTACCCAAGAGGGCCCAGAGACGGCCCAAGATGGCACCAAGACGGCCCAAGAGGCCTCCGATATGGGAAACCAAGAACGTCAACAAGCCCCAAGAAGGGGGAAACCCACGGGGGCCCCAGGAGCCCTCCCCCACAAAATGGCTCGCAAGACCCCCAACATGACACCAAGAGGTCCCCCGAAAGACCGCAAGAAACTCCAAGGAGCCTTCTCAGAAAGCGACATGAGGCCGCCCCCCTGGGCCTCCAAAAGGCTTCCAAGAAGCCCCCCCGACACGGAAGACGAGGACGAATCAGCAACAACAATACGCAGGCCGCAAGACGGCACTCGCAAACAACACGCACGACGTCAGAAGACGCACATGTTCTCTTCCTGGGGTCGGCGAAATGGCATAAGCCTCTTGAACCGTTTCTCTTCTCCCCCTTCTCATTCTTCCCTCGAGGCTCTTCCATCTCCCGTCCCGCGCAGATCGTTCGATGTCGGCCGATTTCGGGCCATTGGCGGCGTTCAACCTTGAACGCGCGCGCCAGGGCCGCCGCCGCGTCGACGCGACGCGAACCCACAGCGCGACAGGATCATACGGATACGCGGTACGGATGCCCGAGTTGAAGCCGCTGGAGCGAAAATGGTCAGCGGTAGTGGTCAGGGATGGGCCTAAGATGCAAGGATGAGAAAGGGTGCCTTTGAAAAGCTACTCATCCTTATGATTCTGCTTGACTGTCCCCCCCCGGCTGGGGAGCTGCGGGCTCGCGAGCGCCGCCCGCGCCGCCTTCAGCTTGTCGTCGTCAGCCGAGCCAGGGGCCGCAGGCGGGGGGGGCGCCGACGTCTGCGGCTTCGAGGAAGACGAGCCTCGCTTGGGCCGCGTGGCTCCCTCATTTGCAGGGTGACTCTTTGAGGGTCACACCAGCATCAAAACCATGACCCCCTCGACCTCGCCTCCTTCCCGACTCATCTCCTCCACTTCCCCTCCGCTCCACTAGGCGCGAATTCAATATTTCGTCTATCTGTATATGTGCGTGTATATATATATATATATATGTATTTCTGGTTGACCACTGACTGCCAAAATAACACACTTCATGTTGGACCACGCTCCCCACTGTAACACTGTGAATGTGTTGAAATTTTCCATAGCGTGCCACAATCATGTGAGACACCTTTTCTGCCCGCGCTGTGTACCACGATTCGAAGACACAATGCAACCCGATTCGGTGAAACAGCTGCAGTATGTCTGTAAGCGCCGAGCTGCACGAAAGTGTACGAATGTGAGACACATGATGAAGCCCGCAATTCTCCGAATGTCGGGGTTAACAAAAAACACAATGGCACAACAAACATCTCGTCTGCGTTGCGTGGCCGAGTTCCTGCTTCAAGACAAGATGCAGACACAACACAGCTGACCCCACACTGGACAACTAACAACTTGCTGTATGAACACACATGCTCGATCCAACGACACAACAACGCATGTAAACCAACACGTACGAATACCTGCTCCGGTATGACGGCCAACACGGAAACACGACTCTTCGCTCTACCAACATATTAACTAAACGTTCCCATGAACACCGCTACCTCTGCCACATAAACTACCATTATTATTGTGATCACCCTGCTGACACCATGCCTGGTTCATTATTCAAACCAGGCCAACAACGCAAGCGTGACCCCGCTAATCGTGCCAATGATGGCAACCTCCCAACGATCCAATGCCGCACCAGGATGTAAGGGCAACTGGCACCTGTGGTTCCCGTACGTACTTGAACTTCCTCCTCGCCGCTTGTTGCGCACATTTCCCCGAACTACATATTAGTTTGAAGTACTGTGATGTTTCCCTTGCTCTTGTCTGTCTGCAAAACCTCTGGAGTTGGACGACGTGATCTTCGACGATCTCACCACTACCTTGCCTGGCGGTGTGCCCGTCGCCACGCTCATGTTGTGAGTGTGCCACCAGCACCGCGCGCTAGCGCGTGGGCCTCGTGTCTGCCTTGCCTCCCGCTCTAGTGGAGCTTGACACTGGTCGTGTGTTGGCTCGATCGAACTGTTATCTCAGTGCCCTGGGTCGCGTGTTTCGCTCATCGCCTCATCCCGACAGCACGTGGTGGTCGCTTCCCTGGTCTCCAGTCTGTCCTTGTCTTTGGAGTGTCCTTCGAATGACTTGCTTCCGCAGACCCTGGTGTCCAGGCCCCTGGGTTCAGCGAGTCCGCCCCTCACATCCTTGGCCGCCGTCGACATCGACCCCCTCGTGCGCAGGCCTGTGCTCCGGCACACACGCGCAAGATCTTCATGATCTGAGCGTGCTCCACCGTCCGCGGCTCCCTGTGCCCCCGTCCGCGCTCTGCCCGCTCACTGCTGTGCCCAATTCGGCCCCGTAGTGCCCCTCGGCTGCCTACGACCGCGGCGTGGATCCGCGCCGATGCGACCACCAAACATCGGAATAACCTCAGCCAGAACTCGCGACTAGTAGCGCGATAAACGTTAGATGGCCGCACGTTTGATCGCGAGCGTATGCCGAGGGCATGGGTAGATAAAATCCGCCGGCCTCCTGGGGCCAACATTCTGCGAGGGCTAGGTGCTCCTGTTCCCTGCGGCAAGCAGATTACCAATGTTAGAATGTTTGGTTTCTGGTTCCGATGTTGTCCTAGTTGAAAAAACGCGCGAGGACTTCGACCCGAATACCGCCCAGTTCCCCTTCCAGAATCACGTCCCCTGAGTTCAAGGAGGGCGATGGAACATTAAAAATACAGCATATTCGCATCCAAGAGGCCACAGTCCACTTAAATGGCGACGTATTCGTGCCCCCGAGGCCACATCCTTTTGTAGTTTACAACGCAGTCGCGCACCCAAAGCCACAATCCCTCGTGATTTGCAACGTGCCCGCACTTCCGAAGCCACAATCCCTTGTAAATTACACGAAGGTCGCGCTCCCGAGGCGACAACCCCTTTGCAAATTACCATACTTCCGTTCTCCCGAAATGTCGCGAGGCCGCAACCCCTTATAATTTACGGCTCGTTCGCGCTCGCGCGGCCACACTCCCTGGCAAATTGCAATGCCCTCGCTCTCCCGAGGCCACAGCGCCTTGCAAATTACGTCGCGCTCGCGCTCCCGAGGCCACGGTCCCAGGTCAGTTACAACGAACTCGCGTTCCCAAAGCCAATCTCGTCCTCCCTCCTCCTCCTCTTCCTCCTCCTCGATCGCACGCATGGGGCTGGCCCTTTTTCAAAGCGGGAGTCTCGCTGGACACCTCGTTGACTTGCGCGGCGATACAGTGGGGGCGCCGCCACAAGAAACCATCGCAAGAAACCGAACCCTGAAAAGCCGCAACGTTTCTTGCCCAGGGCTTGGGCTTCTTAACCGAAGGCGCCACACGGAGAAATCCAGGGGGCCCTGGCCCGAGCAGTTTCTTAGCAGGCCGCGCTCATAGAATACGCCAGCACGGTTTGGGAAGAAATTCGTGGCGATCTGGGGTGTAAGCTCCATGGGATTGCGGCAGCGTTCCCGTGGCCAAAGGAAATCCTCGGGTGCCCCGCGAAAGCCCGTAACATATTTTCTTGTCGCCGCTAACGCCCGACGGCCAGTCCCAAGGTTCCAAGAAACCTAAGGCGCATTGGCGGGCCGCGAAATTTTCCCACACACCCCGTCGCGCCACATCCTGTCTGGGGTTGCGTCGCCACTGAAACCCGGGGGGCCTTGGCCGCATCTGATCTCACAGTGTCGTCGCCGAGCGGCTTGCCGACCGAAGTGCATGATGCCCCGAGAGAGTCGCGCTGCGCGCCCCTCGCGGCGCGCTGTTCGGCCAGGGGCCGCTGCCCAGAAAACCCAAGGGGCGCTGTAGCGGTTGGACCCGCCTGGCCCCCGTCGGACACACAATGGTCGCGCGCCGAAATCTGCGCGCCGACGGCGACTTTTGTCTCCTGAACAATACAGAATCAACGCTGACAATGCAAACTTTATCCAGCAAAGGCGCACGGCGCGTACGCGCGCATACGCGCGCGCGCCCAGGTGCGCGGGGAGTGCTGCATTGCCCACATTAGAAAACACTCACAAGAGCCCATGTTAACTGGCAGCGCAAACCTTAGCAGGCTAGGGCACACGGCGCATACGCGCGGATACGCGCGCGCGCTGTGTGCGCCCAGAGTGCTGTATTGTCCACAACAGATAACGTTCACAAGAGCCCATGTTAACTTCAAAACCCAATCGGTCACCGTTAAGGGTGGACTTCAGTGCCCCGGCCAACATGGCGACCTTATCAGGCCAGGGCACACGGCGAGTACGCGCGCATACGCACGCGTACGCGCGCGCGCCCAATTTCAAAATCCAGTCGGTCACCGTTAAGGGTAGACTCTAGTTTCCAGGCCGACATAGCGACTTTTGTATTCTGGGCAATACACAGCCAATGCTGACAATACAAACCCTATCAGACAAGGGAAGGTTACGCTTTCGATTTGTTCGGTGCGTTTTTGTTTGAGATGCTGACCGTTTACAACAGTTTTGTGAAACATGCAAGCATGAGCAGTCGCGTCGAGAGTGAGTGGGCCATGGCAGATTGACGTATCCCCGTTAGGCGCACGGGGCCCCGTACAATGTCATTGCACGCGCCAATAGTGTAGTTGGGCGGAGCCATAGGGGGGCTCGGCGGAACCACCGGGGGGGCACATTTTCAGGTTCCCCCAGGTCCCTTATATGATTATTATCGCCATCCGGTGTAGGAACCTGAAAATGTCACCGGGGTGTACTATCCGATGCGTTTGGAGCATCTCGGCATTTTCAGGTCGCCCTGACAATTTTCAGGTTGGACCTGAAAATTTCCTCCGGGGACGCTTCATCCATTGTTTTTTCACACGGATGGTACGTTCAGGTCGACCTGGACATTTTCAGGTCTAAATGGCACCTCGCGGTGTAGAAACCTGAGAACGTCACCAGAGTGAATTATTTCATGCACGCGGGGCACCTGGGCGTTTTCGGGTCGACCTGAACGTTGTCAGGTCGGACCTGCAAATCACGCAGCATCCATTGTCTTTTTAGTCAAAGTTTGCTCTGGTCTCTCGGCAGCGGCCAGGACAAGGAGCCCCCCGCGCACCGAAACGAGCAAAGGCTTGAGGCACGACCTGGCCCGACTCGCAACTGACCAAAATATCGTCGTCTTCAGCCGTTGCCGTCGCCGCCAGCGCCGCCGCGGCCGCCGTCGCCGCCAGCGCCGCTGCGGACGCCGCCAGCACGAGCCTCTGCGCTTCCAGGGGGGGCCGTTCACAACGTCAAGGACGGCCCACGAGGCCCCCAAAGTCGCCCCGACGCGGCTGAGAGGGGCCCTGCCAGCGCCACGGTGTCAGCGGCAAGGACAGGCGCGGGGCTCCCCAGTGGCTGGTGGTCCATATAGGGGCTGGCGCGCGCCCACGGCGGTTCCCACCCGGGGGGGGTCGGAGAGACTCAGTGCGGAGGGCCAAAAAAATCGAAAGCGCGATCCTTCCCTTGTCTGATCAGGCCAGGACGCACGCGCGCTCGCCCGCGTGCGCGGGGGGCGCTGTATCGTCGTAAGTATGCAAGAAACTCAAGGAGCCTTTGGCGCCTGGGGGGTTCTTCGGTAGCGGGCCGTTTGATTGCCCGAAGTGCAGCTGCGAAGAAACCCATTGGATCCTGGACACGAGAAATTCTTGGCAACCGCGAGAACCCATCGCGCAACACGCGGCGCGAAGAAACCTAAAGCATCCTGACGAACGACATCCGGTTGTTTGATGCGCGCCCCCACTGTGCCTTTTCGCAGTCCTCGTTACTCGCGAGAAGGATGCAAAACAGTTCCGTTTCGAAATGGGGCTTTCGCATGCTCTCGCCCCAATGGCAGGCCAAAGTAGTAGTGGCTTACGAGGAAGGGGCCAGGGGCGGGAGCGTGCATCGACTACGCGCAAGAGTGACCCTGGGTAAGAGTGACCTATGGTGCGCTGCTTTTTGGGCGCCGCGGGAAGACCGGACGCGAGCGCGCAGGACGCTGCTACCGCATCGCGCTCGGCGATCGGGGGGCCCTAGTGGGCCCGCGCCGAGGGTCACTCTGGCGAAGGGTCACTCTTACGTGTAGTCGAGCGTATTGCAGCATCGTTGATGCGTCGTGAGTCTACTCTGGTCCTGCTCCTCTTCCTCCTCCTCCTCCTCTTCCTCCTCCTCCTCCTCCTCCTCCTCCTCCTCTTCCTCCTCCTCCCCCTAAGTGGCTTGGCCCCCGTGGCGCCCGCCCCCCGCAGCCATCTTGCCTGCGGGCGGGCGCCGCGCCCCCTGGAGCGCAGGCCGCGCTCCCCCGCCTGGCACCGCCGCGAGCGGCGGCAGTCGGCGCAGGCGAAGGCCGCCTTGCGCTTTGCTACCGCTGGCGCGCTCCTGGCACGCCATCACGGAGAGCGCCCTCGTGCCGCTGATGCCGCTATGGCCGCCCCACCGCCGTGGAGGGCCTCCGCTGGCGAACCGCGGCCCTGCGCGGCGACCCGTGCCTGCGGGTTCCGCGCTAACTTCAGAGCGAGGACGACGAGCTACAAGCGCGGCCGTGACAGGCAGGGCCGCCCCCCGAAGGCAGACGACAGCGGGGCCAGCAGCGAGGGTCGCCCCCGTTCGGCCTCTGCCTCGCGTCGCCGCCGTGCCACTTCTGGCACTGGTGCTCCTGCTGGGGCTCCTCCCTCGGCCGCCCCCGCCGCCGGCCCTGCCTTGCAGCGTGCTCGCCGGGGACTGCTCGCCCTGCAGAACCTCCAGTATGCTGCCGATCATCAATTGGTCGTCGCAGCCCGTGAAGACCTGGCGCGCCTGGAGGATGAGGAGCGCAGGGCGCAGCCGCCAGAACTCCTCCTCTGCGCCCTGCAGTCCAAGATGGCTGACGCCAAGGCCGACTTGGGCCAGGCGGAGGAGGCCCTCGGCCTGGTCTCGGCCGAGGTGGAGCGCCTCGCGGCCCTGGCGGAGCAGTGCCGCTCAGAGGTCTAGGTCATTGAGGCAGAGCTGGCTGAGGCGCGCCGTGCTGTCGCTGCCACTGCCGCCCCCGCGGGGGTGGACCTGGCTGGCCTCGCGTCCCAAATGGTTGGCCTCCAGGCGCTTCTCGGCACGGCCCAGACCGGCATCGCCAACGGCAAGGGGGTCCAGCTGCTCGAGGCCATCAACAAGCAGGTGCTGGCCATGGGTGCCGCGTTCCCCATGCAAGTACTCCAGGGCGCCCTGGCGGCGCAGGGCACCGCCGCTGGTGCACCAGCCAGCGCCGCCCCCGCAGCGCTTGGACCCGCAGCCGTGGAGGCAGGTGCTGCAGGTGGTGTCCCGCGTGCTGTGCCGCCCGTCCACGCCGCCGCCGCCTCTGCCCAAGGCTCGCCCAGCGTCGGAGCCGCTTTTCGCCCCCCTGGCAACGCTGCGGCCCGCTCCTGGGAAGACGTCGGGATGGGGGCCCCCGCGTAGACGTGGTAGGCGTGGAGCCGCTCGTCGAGACGCAGTTTTTGTTACCTACAACAACGGCTCATCGTGGGGATCGTGCCGTGAAATTTTGACTGCATGTGATACTGGTATCTTGGCTGTCGCTGCTCAGGAGCGTCACATCGATGGGGATGACGTACTTCGAGCACAGGGATTGGCAGCTAGAGCTGGTTGGCATGCCATTATCTCTCCGTGCCGCCGTCTGGAATCTGGGCGGCAGTCCGCTGGGGTCGGACTCTTCATCAGGCGGCACATCAGCATCACTGCACTTCCTGGGGGTGGTTTCACTGGCGCTTTCGATTTGGTACCGAACTTCTGTGTGGCTTGCCATGCGGACTTCGGGATCAAAGGTGGCTTGATTCTCGTCGCTGCCTACTTTGAGGTCGGGCTCTGGGCGACCACGAACACCAGCAGGCTCTACGACGTCGCGCTGGCGCTTCGTGGGTGGAATCGTCCCTTTGCCCTGGCGGCCGACGTCAACTGCGACCCTTCGGACCTGGACGGCATCGGTTTCCTGAGCTGCATTCCTGCTCGCACGGTTGCTCGTTCGCGCGCTTGCGATCCTGGGGCAGGAACGTGTCGCAGTGCCCAGGGGAACTACTCTAACATTGACTACTGGCTGGTCAGCCTCTCGCTGGCGGGCTCGTTCTCGGCCCCGCGGCCTGTCCCTGGCTGGCCCGCTGCACCGCGCTACCCCATGATGACGTCCCTGGCGGCAAACGCCAAGGCCGCGAAGTTCGCGGTCGTCGCTGGGCCACGCGCTTTCCCTCGCCATGCCCCTCCCGACGACGCTGCGGTGGTGCGCGACACGGGTGATGTGCGCCTCATCGAGTCTGATGTGGAGCTGGGCGGTGATGCCACCCCAGCGGCAGCTCAGTTTCGGTCCGATGGTCTATACACCGCCTTCATGGAGTCGGCGGAGCACGAGCTGATCTACACCTACGGCCTGGAGCAGGACGCCCGCCGTTGCTTGGGTCGAGCTGAGCACGCGGTGCACCGCTGGCGTCAGGCAGGGGGCCCCCCTGCTGGTCCGCACCCCGCGGCACCACCTGATGGGCGTCGAGCTCGCCGGCTGGCCCAAGCTTTCGCTGACTGTCTACGTGCTGCTCAGGTCGGATTTGATGTGTTTGACGATTTGAGCGTCTTGCTTCGCCTGGAGCTGAGCGCGCCTATGCAGATGCTCGCTGCCGTTGTGTGGTTCACCTGCTCAGGTCACTGCTCCCTACTTTACGTGGTCTCCTTGAGGCCGATGACGATGCTTTCGCGCGTTGGCATGACCAACAACTACTCCTACAGGGGATCCTTTCACATCCCCTCCTGCAGGAGGGAGGCTGGTGACGTCGGCGCAGGGCCGCAGGAAACCCTCGAGCCGCTGCCGGCTGCTTCGATGTCCGAGAGCGCTGGTTGGCACCCGAGGTTGCCGACCGTGCCCAGGCGGGCTCCCTCTCCAGAGCGGGGCGAAAGTGGTAGGGGGGCGCCGCCGCCCGTGAGAGGTCGGCGCGGTGGGGGCCCCATATTTCTCCTGCACCCGAGGTTTCTCACATGGGTACCTGTCCTGCGATGGATCTCGCTGATTTACGGCAACTTGCTTGTGATGTGGTTCATGCAATTTCTTCCTGGCTCGCGGACTTCGCCGAGCGTCAGGAGGTCCTTGCTGTGCGGCAGCGGCGCAAAGCGTTCGCAGATACGGCATCTGACTGTGGGGCGGGTCGCATCAAGCCGCCTTTCTCGTTCACGAAACCTCTCGGCAGTTCCCACTCCCAGGTGAGAAGGAACAATGTCGACGCGACTGCGGCTCAGCATGTCGCGGATGATCAGATGGACGGTTGGGCCCGCATTTGGAAGGCATCCCCCGTTTCGAGCTGTCCCGCTCTCGAGCAGGTAGACGGCCTCGGTCGCGACGTGGACCACTGCGAGACTCAGCATCTGGCTGACTTCAAGGGCACCGCCTCCATCTACGCCGACATCCAGAGGCCCCCCGTGGCCGCGCTGCCCATGCCGCAGATTGCCGACCTACGTCATGCGGCGAAGAGCTTTCGCTGGGGCACTGGGCAGGGTGCCGGCAAGCTCGCTCCTCGCTCGGTCTCTTTGCCGAGCGACGCCTCGCTCTCCCTGCTCGTCTACATCATGTGGTTGGCTGAGCATTGGGAGCGGTGGCCCACTCAGATGATGGTCGTTCACATCGTGCTGCTGGCGAAGCCGAAGGGCGGGTGGCGCCCCGTCGCGCACTTGGCGGCGGCCTACCGCATTAGCTTCAGGGCCAACAGCTACGGGACTGGCTCCAGGTCAATGATCGGCCCGACTTCGCCCTGGCAGCGGGCCAGATCACCGTCGATGTGGCGCCTCGTGCTCTCCTGCGCTCCGAGACGGGCCTAGCGAGCGACCTCGGCGTCATCACCGCCATCGTGGACATTGAGAAGTGTTTCGACCGCATCCAGTGGGCCCCACTGGTGGAGGCCGCCAGGCGCCACGACCTCCCTCGGCAGCTGCTAGCGTGTGCCCTTGCTATGTGCAGGGCGCCCAGACGGCTGGCGTGGCTGCAGGCTACATCCCACTCTGTCGCAGTTGAGCAGGGCGTGCTTCCAGGTTGCAAGTTCGCCATGGCTTTGGCCCAGCCCACCATGGTTACGGCGCTCGACGATTACTTGCTGCAAGCCGACGTTATGGCCAAGGCAGTTGCTGGCACTTCGCACACCCTGGACGTTTTCGCTGACGATCTCACGGTGCAGGTTCTGGCCCCTCCTCAGTCTATTGTACGACAGGCAGTGGACACTATCGCCTTATTCTGTGACTCACTGCAGGATTAGGGCCTCCCCGCTGCCGAATTTAAGGCCATGCTCGCGGGGTCCCACGACCACGCCGTCACCCGTGTCGCTCGGAGGCTCCAGAGATTTGGATTCCGTTCTAGGTCTTGGCTTGAGGTTCTTGGGCTGGAAGTTGGAGCGGGCAAGCCTGTGCGGTCGCGTGTCCTCCGCCGCCGTGTGCGAGCTGTCTCCAAGCGAGTGCGTCATTTTCAAAGGCTTTTGGCTTTGGGGTCCAAGTATCGGAAGGTTGCGAGGGCCGCTGCGGGGCCTGCTGTTACTCATGATCTTGGCACGTTGGGAGCCGCCCCCCACGTCGTGAATCGCGCGATGAGATAGGTCAAGTTGGGATGGGGCTCTTTACCTGGTGGCGCTTCTCATTGGATTGCCTCGCGGCTTGCCCCGTCGCCTGACGTGCAACCCTCGAGCGTCTCAATCGTTGGCCCTACTCACACTTGGGCTGTGTTGACGGTATCTGGCGATGCTCCTCATCAAGACATGCAGGTTGTTTGGCAATCGCAATTCCGCAGGATTGCCATGCCAAAGGAGCAGGGTCGTTGGCGTTCGGTCGCTGGCCCAGCCGGCGCTTTCTCGAGATCGCTGCTGCCCCTGGATTGGACATGTTTTTCTGCGTTTCTTGTTCGGACAAGGTTTGGTGAGAAGCTTGATCTGCGCACTGTTGCACCTTCCAGTGTTCGGTGGCCTGCGATTCAGGATTTTGAAGCGGTTGGCTGGTTGCAATGGTCTAAGCGTGCTGATGTCATGCCTGAGGTCCCTGGTCCCAGTCACAAGGGCCCTGCTGGTTGCTGGATAGCTCCTAATCGTGGTCTCCCTCATGCAGGGCAACAGGCAAAGAGATGGCTTCTCGATCCCGTGGCTAAGGCTGCTGTCCGTGCCGCGGCCTTGGGATGTCACTTCTCGCGACAACGGCCATATCAGTGCGCTTATGCGATCTCCCCTTGCTGCCTCGTGTGTGGTATTGAGATCAGGACTTTACATGGTCCGCATTGGCACTGCCCTTGTCTTTGTGAGTCCCACCAGCCCTTTGGGCGTGAGTGGTTTAGCGAGCTCTCTCTGTTCTCAACCCCCCTTCTTCCCCTTCGGGGAGGGGTTTACCCCTCCCCCTACCCCCTCCCCCTGGACCTGGAGAGGGGGTTTCGCGGGTGGTCAGAGGGTCCTTTTTCTATCCCTGGGAGGGCTAAAATTCGACACCCCTCACGAGGATCGTGGCCCCGACGGGGGTACTGACAAAAATGCTCGCCCCATCTGTGATCGATCGCCCCAAAGATGGCCCCAACAGGCCCCCAAGACGCTCCAAGAGGCGCCCAAGAGGGCCCCCGGACGCTCCCAAGAGGTTCAACAGAGAGCCCAAACGACTACTTGTACTACTACTACTACTACTACTACTACTACTACTACTACTACTACTACTACTACTACTACTACTACTACTACTACTACTACTACTACTACTACTACTACTACTACTACTACTACTACTACTACTACTACTACGACTACTACGACTACGACTACTACTACTACTACGACTACGACTACGACTACGACTACTACTACTACTACTACTACTACTACGACTACTACTACTACTACTACTACTACTACTACTACTACTACTACTACTACTACTACTACTACTACTACTACTACTACTACTACTACTACTACTACTACTACTACTACTACTACTACTACTACTACTACTACTACTACTACTACTACTACTACTACTACTACTACTACTACTACTACTACTGCTGCTACTGCTGCTACGCTACTACTGACTACTACTACTACTACTACTACTACTACTACTACTACTACTACTACTACTACTACTACTACTACTGACTACTACTACTACTACTGCTACTACTACTACTACTACTACTACTACTACTACTACTACTACTACTACTACTACTACTACTACTACTACTACTACTACTACTACTACTACTACTACTACTACTACTACTACTACTACTACTACTACACTACTACTACTACTACTACTACTACTACTACTACTACTACTACTACTACTACTACTACTACTACTACCACTACTACGACTAACTACTACGTACTAACTACTGACTACTACTACTACTACTACTACTACTACTACTACTACTACTACTACTACCACTACTACTTCTACACTTACTACTACTACTACTACTGCTACTACTATTATTACTACAATACTACTTACTACTACTGCTACTGCTACTGCTGCTACTACTACTACTACTACTACTACTACTACTACTACTACTACGAGGGGACCGAACGACTCGCACCAGGACGAGGTGCCCGAACGCCTCACACCACGAGGAGCCCGAACGACTCACACCAGGACGAGGGGCCCGAACGACTCACACCACGAAGAGCCCGAACGACTCACACCAGGAGGAGGGGCCCGAACGACTCACACCAGGACGAGGCGCCCGAACGACTCACACCACGAGGAGCCCGAACGACTCACACCACGACGAGGGCCCCGAACGACTCACACCACGAGGAGCCCGAACGAGTCACACCAGGAGGAGGGGCCCGAACGACTCACACCAGGACGAGGGGCCCGAACAACTCACACCACGAGAAGCCCGAACGACTCACACCAGGACGAAGAGCCCGAACGACTCAAACCACGAAGAGCCCGAACGACTCACACCAGGAAGAAGGGCCCGAACGACTCACACCAGGACGAGAGGCCCGAACGACTCAAACCACGAGGAGCCCGAACGGCTCACACCAGGACGAGGGGCCCGAACGACTCACACCACGAGGAGCCCGAACGACTCACACCAGGAAGAGGGGCCCGAAGGACTCACACAAGGACGATGGGGCCGAACGACTCACCCCACGAGGGGCCCCAACGACTCCCACCAGTCGTCGTCGTCGTCGTCGTCGTCGTCGTCGTCGTCGCCGCCGCCTTCGTCGTCGTCGTCGTCGACGTCGTCGTCGTCGTCGTCGTCGCGGTTGTGGTCGTCGTCGTCGTCGCGGTCGATATCGTCGTCGTCGTCGGGTGCGTCGTCGTTGTTAGGATCATCGCTGTGGTCGTCGTCTCCGCTAAATCCCTCTTGCCTCCCACCGCTTTCTCTCCCTCCTCCTCCGCCTCGTCCTTCTCCCGCTCCCACCACAAGGAGGATGTACAAGGAGGCGGGAGGAAGGAGGAACAGGGGAGATATGCGGGGGCAGGCGGAAACACGCCTGAAAAACACGACTGTCGGCATGCTTCGCAAGAGTTGCTGTTTTGAGATGGGCTGGTGGGTATACGCGAAGCGTGAAGAATTTCGTGAACATGCTGTGGACTCTGAAGTCTTGGAGCTTGCGTGTGGGACGGCTCCGGCTGATGTATTATTTTCTCGGAGCTCGTTTCCAAATTCTGGTCTTCCTGCGCTCCCGCCAAGGGATGATTCTGGACACTGGCACTGCGACAGGACCGCTCGCTCCGAGCCTTTGGTGGTGACTGGTGACGTCTTTACTGATGGATCCTGCAAGAAGTTGCTGCACTGGGATGCCGCGTCTCGTGCAGGTTGGGGTTTCGTGGTTGTTGGCGATCGCACCTACCCTGGCGCAGTCTTTGACGCCCTTCCTGGACCGCGGCAGACCCCAGGCCGAGCCGAGCTTCACGCGATCGTGCAAGCCTTGACCATTGGCATCGCCCCGATACGTACCCACACGGACTACCTTCCCCGCATCGAAGGTCTCCGTCGTGGCCAGCGGTGGTGCACGAACCCTCGGAGGGAGAACGTTGACCTCTGGAAGTTGCTGTGCCACCGCATCGCAGATCATGGAGGTGCGAGCTGGACTGGCGCGACGGCACCAATTATGTATGTTCAGGTACGTGAAGGGCCACCAGAAGACCGACTGCTGGGATAAGCGCTGCAATGAACTTGCCGATCAGGCAGTCAAGCGAGGACAACGGCTACATGACGTTCCACAGGCTGTTGTGGGCAGGCATTCGTTGGCCTTATTGAAGACCAGGCAGGTGGCGACGTGGATTGGCACTGCCTCGAAGCTTCAGTTCACGGGGTTGGTGCAGCCCGATCGAACCGACCCTCCTCGGCGTCGCAACGCGGAGCTGCGCCGCAGCTGTGCCGCTCGTGGTGCTGCTCATCGCGCACCTGCAGCCCCTGGCGCGGCCCGCGCCTGCGGTGGGCCCGCTGCGCGGGAGACGGCGGCGCCCCCGCCGCCGAGGGAGGAGCCTGTGGTGCACCCCCACAAGGTGAGGAGGCGTGGACAAAAGTTCGCTTGTGAGCGCTGCCAGGCTTTCGTCTTGTCCGCAAGGGGTGCGAGGGCCCTCAGGCTCCGCGCGTGTAGAGTAGCCGAAGCGGCGGCCCTCTGGGGCCTTGAGGGTTTTTCGCCTCAGACGAAGGCAGGCCCCTTTGAGGCCGCGCCTCTCGAGGCGGACGATGTCTTGGAGGGTTCTGGGGGTCCGCCGCCATCGGATCATGGGGTCCTTGGGCGGCAGCTGGCTTTCAAGAGGGTGAGGTTTCAGACGGATGAGGAGAGGATGGATGATCAGTTGGAGGAGGCCTGCAGTAGGTTAAGCAGGCGCGCTCGGAGCCGTCGGACCCTCCTCCCACCCCTCCTCCCCCGTCCGCCGCCCCTGGAGCCAGTCTGGAGAAGGACAGTCGTGAAGGGGTCGCCCTGGAGGGCCCGCGCCCGAAGGCGCCGCGTTTGGACTCGGGCCCCCAGGTTTCGGCTGGTGAGCCTCCTGCTCCCAGTCGGGTGGGGGGGGCCTCCGCCCCTCAAGCGCTCCAGGACCGCTGGCGGGCCTGCGGAGCGCGTCTCCTGGGTTGCTCGGGATGCTTCGCCCCCCGACCGTCCCCTCCCCGCTCAAGGCCCCGTAGGGCCTGCCAGTGCTCGAGGGCACTGTATCGTCCTTGCTGGGGCTACCCTTGCATTCTGTCGGCGGTGCGGCGCTCGGGCCCAGCCGTCGGCCCCGCGCTCGCGGTTCTGGGGCCGTTGCTCGGGTATTGCATCCAGTAAGGACACTACCTATTTGAAAGCCCTCGAGCAGGGCAAATATCCTCTTTCTGGGGAGTGGAAGGGACACCCCCCGTCCACTCCTCGCCCCGGATGACGCCACTTTCTGGCTTCGTCTTCGGTGATCCGCTTGCGTTTCATCCTGTCTCTCGTCCAGCTGCGCTCGCTCTTCTTTTCCATCCGTCTTTGCCGTGCCTAGTCCTGTCTCGGCGCGCTCGGATCTCCTCGAGTTGGCGTGCCCTTCTCCTCCTCCTCCCCGCTCTTTCTGCTGCTGCATTTTCCCTCGCCCCTCACCGTTCCTCCTCCTCTCGCTCCTCCTGCTCCTGCTCCTGCGCCTCCTCCTCCTCCTCCTCCTCCTCCTCCTCCTCCACCTCCACCTCCACCTCCACCTCCTCCTCCTCCTCCTCCTCCTCCTCCTCCTCCTCCTCATCCTCCTCCGTCCAGCTGGTGGGGGAAACGCCTGCAGATGAGGAAGCGGCCGGCGCGGCGGCGCCACTTTGGGATGAGCCGCCGCCCTTCGCCACGGGCTCCTCGGGCGCCGCAGGCACCGGCACCTTTGTGAGCACCTCCGCCCGGTCGCGCCGCTAGGGGGGCGGTGTTGATGGGGAAGGATAACAACGGGGCTTTGGAGGAAACGCAGCGAACAGCGGCAACCTGCGGAGAACGAGGTAGTGCATATAACGGCACCCAGAAGAGAACAAGATCGCAGTTGGAATCGGAGCCAGAAACCGAGCCTGAGGCACAGTGCGAGTCAGACGAGGATAAGCAAAGGCGGGAGTAAGGGCATCAGTGGAGGCTGGCCCCATGCGAGGCTGACTCACAAAAGCAGCGCAACGAAGCAGAGTCCTCGCACAGGGCGCCATCCCTGCATGGGGGAGCGGTTTGCCGAATGGGACCTCGAGCCATGCCGTCAGGAACCAGCCTGACCCCCCATCTCAGAAGGTCATGCATCATGAGGCACGTGAGCCAGCGCAAGGAAGGCTCACGAACAAGGCGTGGGCTCTGGGAAGGACAGGCAGGGGCCGTGTGGCCAACTGTGCGGTGGGGGACATCGCCCGCACCTCCAGAAGAGAACAGGGTCGGGCTGCGCAAGGAATGGGGTAATGACAGACGGGCACCTGGCATGCGGGGGACGCGGGGATGTGAACAAACAAGGAATAATGGAAATAAGTGGGATTACGGGCTACGCCGACAGAATGCTGAAGACAACTGATGGTTGTGGACATGGAGAGAACAAGCAAAGTGGAGGGGGCGACAGAAAAGGGCGGCTCCTCAATCGGCGAGGGCATGCCGCCCGTACCCCGCCGCCGCCACCACCTCCTCCTTTTCCTCATTTTCGTCTCCTCCTCCGCCTCCTCCTCCTCTTCTCCCTTATCTCCTCCTCTTCTTCCGCCACCGCCCTGGCGACCTGGGCAGCGATGCTGGCCTCCTTGTTCACCAAGTGGAGCTGCGCGGGCCGCTCTCTCTCTCTCTCTCTTTCCCTATCTGTGTTTTCTGTATGTTGATTTTTTCGTTTGCACGAGCGCGCGCGCAGACGCACACGCGCCCGCCCGCACACACGTACCCACGTAGCACACGCCCCCCCCTCCCCCTCCCCCTCCCCCCCCCCACACACAGACACACACACAGACACACACAGACACGCACACGCACAGACACACACACAGACACACACACACACACACATACACAGACACACACACGCACACAGGCACACACGCAGGCACACACATAGGTACACACAGACACACACAGACACACACAGACTACGAACACACACAGACACAAATGCGCACACAGACACACACAGACACACACACAGACACACACAGACACCCAAAGACACACACAGACACACACAGACACACACAGACACACACACACAGACACACACACAGACACACACACAAGCACACACACAGACGCACTCGCAGACACACACACAAACACACACAGACACACACACAGACACACACAGACACACACACACACAGACACACACACAGCCACACAAACACACAAACACACACACACACACCTTCACACACGCACTTTCAACTTCCAGGCCGGGAGATCTCATTGCCCCGGCCACGATATCCAAAAACCTCCGAACCAAATTTTTTTTGTTGATATAAAATTGTGTCACCGGGTCAACTGACCCACACCACCGTGTCACCGGGTCACCGGGTCAACTGACCCACGCCGCCGGGTCACCGGGTCAAACTGACCAACATCACGGGGTCACCTGGTCAACTGACCCACGCCGCCGGGTCACTGGGTCACCGGGTCAACGGACCCACACCGCCAAACCACCGGGTCACCAAATCGCTGGGTCAACTGACCCACGCCGCCGGGTAATTAACTGGGTCACCGGGTCAACTGACCCACACCACCGGGTCACTGGGTCACCGGGTGACCGGGTCAACTGACCCACGCCGCCAGGTCACCAGGTCAACGGGTCAGCTGACCAACATCACCAGGTCAACCGGGTCATTTGACCCACGCCGCCGGGTCACTGGGTCACCGACTCAACTGACCCACACAACCAAGTCACCGGGTCACCAAGTCACCGGGTCAACTGTCACCAAAACACTGGGTCACCGGGTCACTAGACCACCAAGTCACCGGGTCACCGGGTCACGGGAGCACCAGGTCACCAGGTCACCGCGCCAAGTCACCGGGTGGGTCACCGGGTCACTGGGTCACCGGGTCACGGGGTCACAGGGTCACCGGGTCACTCGGTGACCAGATCACCGGGTCACAGGGTTTCCGGGTCACTGGGTCACCTGACCCACGCTAATTACAGGGTGACCGGGTCCCCGGGTCATCTGACCCACACCGCCAGGTCACCAGGTCAACGGGTCACCGGGTCAGGGGGTCACTGGGTCACCAAATCACCGGATCACCAGGTCACCGGGTCACGATATCAGTGGGTCACCGGGTCACCACCAGGTCAGTTGGTCAGCGGGTCAGCAAGTCACCTGGTCACGGGGTCACCGGGTCACCGTGTCACCAGGTCACCGGGTCACCGGGTCACCAGGTCACTTGGTCACAAATCACAGGTCACCAAATCACCGGGTCACCAAAACACTGGGTCACCGGGTCACGGGAACACCGGGTCACCGAATCACCACGCCGGGACACCGGGTCACCGAGTCATCAAGTCACTGGGTCACAGTGTCACAATGTCACGGGATCACCGGGTCACCGGGTGGCGGGATCACCGGGTCACCGGGTCACCGTGATCACCGGGTCACGGGGTCACTGGGTCACGGGGAACTGACCCACATCACCAGGTCACCTGTTCACTGGGTCAACTGACCCACACGGGTCACTGGGTCACCGGGTCGCTGGGTCAACTGACCCACGCCGCTGGGTCATCGGGTCACCGGGTCACCAGGTCACTGGGTCACCATGCAGGTCACTCGGTCACCGGTCACCGGGTCGGTCACCAGGACACCGGGTCACAGGGTCACTGGATCACCAGGTCACCAAGTCACCGGGTCACCAAATCACCGGGTCACTGGGTCACCAAGTCACGGGGTCACCACACCGGGTCACTGGGTCACTGGGTCACCGGGTCATGGCCATGGTCACCGGGTCACCGGGTTACGGGGTCACGGGGTCACCGGGTCACCGGGTCACCGGGTCACCGGGTCACTGGTCATTGGGTCACCGGGTCACCAAGTCACCAGGTCAGCGGGTCAGCGGGTCAGCGGATCACCGGGTCACATGATCACTGGGTCACCGGGTCACTAGGTCACCAGGTCACTGGGTCACTGGCACACCGTGATTACTGGGTCACCAAGTCAACGGGTCACCGGGTCACCAGGTCACCGGATCACGGGGTCACCGGGTCCCGGGTCACCAAATCACCGGGTCTCGGGATCACTGGGTCACGGTTTCAGCGGATCACCGGGTCACCGCGTCTGGTCACCGGGTCACCAAGTCACTGGGTCACTGGGTCACTGGGTCACCGGGTCACTGGGTTACCTGATTACTGGGTCAATGGATCACCGGGTCACCGGGACATTGGGTCACTGGGTCACCTGGTCACCGCGAGGTCACCGGGTCACCGCGGGTCACCAGGTCACCGGGTTAATTGACTCACGCCGCCGGGTCACTAGGTCACCGGGTCAACTAACCCACATCACCGGGTCACCGGGTCACCGGGTCAACTGACCCACACCGGGTCACCGGGTCACTCGGTCACTGCATGGGTCACTGATCGAATCACCAGGTCACCGGGTCACCGCGCCGGGTCACCGGGTCGCCGGGTCACCGGGTCACCGTGTCACTGGGTTACGGGGTTTCAGAATCACCGGGTCACCAGGTCACTGAGTCATCGGATCACCGGGTCACCGGGTCACCGGGTCAGCAGGTCACCAGGTCACCGGGTCACCAGGTCACCGGGTCACCGGGTCACCCGGTCACCGCATCACCGACCTAATTCAACAAAAACCTCTAGTTCACATGCACTCCGATATCCACACCTCAAATTAAGTCCCAACCCCCATATTCGACCGGGGAGAGACGATGGGGGCGAATACAGCGAATACAATATGCGAGGCGCGCGCGCGCGTACGCGCACGCGATGCATCCTGTATGGGTTTTATACAATGAGAGGCCATTTTAGATTGAAAATCCTAGGGTCAAAACCCAATGTAAAATTTCATTCTCTGGGCACAAGAGGCGGCCATCCGGCCCAACGGGCCAGAGGCGTGCTAAGATCTCCGGTAACTGCTAAATAATACTTCTACTTCGCGCGCGCGGGGCGGCCCCTGGGGGTCCCCGGACGAAAAGTACCCCGGGCGATCCCCGGCAGACTCGGGTCAGAGATGGTTTTCCTCCTGGGCGCCGCCCCCGTGGCCCTCCAGAGAGCCCCAAGAAGGGCCACGAGGCCGCCAAGAGCCCTCCAAGATGGTTCAAGAGTGCTCCGAGATGCCACACGATCGTTCCAAGACGCCCAAGATGGCCCCCAGACGCCCCAAGAGGCCTCCAAGAGCACTCCCCAGAGGGCCCCAAGAGGCAAAATTCATTACTTTTCCTTAGGTTTTGGGCAGATTTTGGCGTGTCCATCTTTTCGGCTTCCCGACGCCCCAAGACGGCCCAAGAGGCCCCCAAGATCGCCCCAAGAGGGCCCAAGAAACTCCCAAGAAGGCACCAAGATGGCCCAAGAGGGCTCCAAGACGGCCCCAGAGGCATCCAAGACGGCCCAAGAGGGGCCCAAGAGGGCCCCAAGCGATGCCCCAAAGGGGAAACACAAAACAAAACTTCGAGCCCTCGGCCTTAAGAAGCCCCCAGGAGGCTTCAAGAGGCCCCTGAGAGGCCCCAAAAGCCCCCAAGAGGCCCTCAGGAGGCCCCCAAGCAACGCTGAAGAGGCCCCCCAGCGGCCCCAAGAGGCTCAGTCATACGAAATGGGCCGGCGGAATGAGCGAAGCGATTCAATAAACGTGCAGTTACAAAACCAATGCAATATGCGAGGCGCGCGCGCGCGCGCTGGTGACCCGCGCGGGAGGTGGGTCACCCGCGCGCGCGCGCGTACACGCACGCGATGCGTCCTGCATTGGTTTTATACAATCGGAGGCCATGTGAACCCAATGTAACATTCATCCTCTGGGCCCAAGAGGCGGCCATATAAACGTGAATATACAAGAGGCGGCCATATCCGCCGACCCTGTCGGCGTGTGTGAGGGGCTTTTCCGTTCGAGCCGTCATCTCCGTCATTCTTTGTACTCGTCGTCTCTGTCCTTCCCTTTCCCTGGGAGACCTCTTCCCCTGGGCTCCAGCCAAGCCGACCCTGAGCAACCTCGTAATTGAGTCGAAGGGAAGCCCCTTCCCTTTGATCCCTCCCCCGCCGGGAGAGGGGGGGGGGTAGCGACCCCCCCCCCGGGTCAGATACGACGCCCCCCCCTGGGACTCCTCTTCCCCTGGGCTCCAGCCAAGCCGACCTTGAGCAACCCCTGGGCTCCAGCCAAGCCGACCTTGAGCAACCTCGTAATTGAGTCGAAGGGAAGCCCCTTCCCTTTGATCCCTCCCCCGCCGGGAGGGGGGGGGGGTGTCGACCCCCCCCCCGGGTCAGATACGACGCCCCCCCCTGGGACTCCTCTTCCCCTGGGCTCCAGCCAAGCCGACCTTGAGCAACCTCGTAATTGAGTCGAAGGGAAGCCCCTTCCCTTTGATCCCTCCCCCGCCGGGAGGGGGGGGGGGTGTCGACCCCCCCCCCGGGTCAGATACGACGCCCCCCCCTGGGACTCCTCTTCCCCTGGGCTCCAGCCAAGCCGACCTTGAGCAACCTCGTAATTGAGTCGAAGGGAAGCCCCTTCCCTTTGATCCCTCCCCCGCCGGGAGGGGGGGGGGGGTGTCGACCCCCCCCCCGGGTCAGATACGACGCCCCCCCCTGGGACTCCTCTTCCCCTGGGCTCCAGCCAAGCCGACCTTGAGCAACCTCGTAATTGAGTCGAAGGGAAGCCCCTCCCTTGAGTCCCGCCGGGCCTCGGGTCAGATCCCCTGGGGGGCCAGCCAAGCCGACCCCTCGGAGTCGAAGGGAAGCCCCTTCCCTTTGATCCCCGCCGGGAGGGGGGGGGGGGGTGTCGACCCCCCCCCGGGTCAGATACGACGCCCCCCCTGGGACTCCTCTTCCCCTGGGCTCCAGCCAAGCCGACCTTGAGCAACCTCGTAATTGAGTCGAAGGGAAGCCCCTTCCCTTTGATCCCTCCCCCGCCGGGAGGGGGGGGGGGGTGTCGACCCCCCCCCCGGGTCAGATACGACGCCCCCCCCTGGGACTCCTCTTCCCCTGGGCTCCAGCCAAGCCGACCTTGAGCAACCTCGTAATTGAGTCGAAGGGAAGCCCCTTCCCTTTGATCCCTCCCCCGCCGGGAGGGGGGGGGGGGTAGCGACCCCCCCCCGGGTCAGATACGACGCCCCCCCCTGGGACTCCTCTTCCCCTGGGCTCCAGCCAAGCCGACCTTGAGCAACCTCGTAATCTCTTGCTGCGCATTGCGAACAGGGTCGGCGGCACCGGCCGTCAGGCCTTCGCAATAAAGATGGCTCGAGAGGGCTCTGAGGAGAGAGCGCTTCACGCGTCATGGCCAAGTCGAGTTCGCGGAAAAACGCGCCACGCGTTGCATCATCTGGACACCAGAAAGGAATAATTTCACGCGCTGCGGCCTCAGGGCAGCTCATGACGATCTTTCCAGCGCTTCGCCCCTGTTACTTTTTCCAGCAGGGGCCTCCACTCTTTCAGGCGAGCCCCGCAAAATCCGACGGGGGGCCAACGCATTAAAGACCATTGGGGCGCCCGCCGGAAAAACAAAGATCGCGCACCGCTGATTCCGTCGATGGCCGAAGGCCATCGTCGGAAAAAACTGCCCGAGTGCATTGCGCGATGACATGCGACCAAGTAGGACGCACGGCGAGGCATTGCGTTGGAAATAGTAGACGTTGGAAAAACTGTTTGGTTGGCATGGGTATTTCGCAGTAGGGGCGGGGCCAGCGTTGAAAATAGGCAAAAGCTGAAAAGAGTAGAAGGGCCGGCCCCAGACACTCTTTCCAGCTTCCCTGTAGCCCAGGGGCCCAGGGGAGAGCAGTGCATGTACCCAGGGGCGCCGATGGCCCATGCCTTCGGCGAGGCTCCCGTGCGAATGCGTGTAATGTCCGCTCCTGGGCTATTCGCTCCTATCTTAGGCACCGTAAGGGTATAAACTTTCCAGCCGCCCAGGGGCATGCGCCCCGACGGCGGAAAAGTTGATTTTATACCGTTCTTCGCCCCCTAACTATCGTCGCCTCCGACTCACCTTCATCTTCGTCGCCTACTTGTAATGCCTATCGTCGCCTCCATGCCTTCAGCGAGGCTCCCTGGGTCATTTAATCCGCTCCATCGTCGCCTCCGACTCACCCCGATCGTCGACACCCCCGACCTCCCCTCCTCCCCGTCGGCGCCCAATTGGCCGAGGTGGGGCAAGAGGGCGGCCGGCCCCGGGTGAGCGCGGCGAGCACGGGCCGGAAAGGCCTGCGTGCCGTTCACGATGCGGAGCTGCGCCAACGGCGTGGAGGCCGGGCCCTGCACCGGCTGCGCGCCTGCCGGGATTGAGGGGGAGGGCGCTCTCCTCCTCCTCCTCCTCCTCCTCCTCCTCCTCCTCATACTCTGGCACCCTCTTCTTCTTCTTCTTCTTCTTTGCTTTTTCCTCCTCCTCCTCCTCCTCCTCCAGCACCTTCAGCTTTTCCTCCTCCCACTCCTCCTCCTCCTCCTCCTCCTCCTCCTCCTCCTCCTCCTCCTCCTCCTCCTCCTCCTTCTCCTCCTCCTCCTGCTCCTCTCCCGTCGCCCCCCACGAGGGAGGAGCGGCAGGCGAATGAGAGGGAGCTGGTCGTCGTAACCACTGCCTCCTCAGATGGCGCTGACATGCGCTGACTGCTGGAAGAAAGGGGGAGGGGGAAACGATACCGAGGAGGAGGCGGCGGGGCTACGTCCGAAGGTGGTGAGGAGACTTCGACGACGGGAAATCTGGGGCAACGACACAAGACGCGGCCTCGTGCGACCTTGGAAAGGATATCGAAAACGGATGATGATGCTGCTGATGATGATGATGGTGATGATGATGCTGATGATGATTATGCTGATGTTGATGATGACGATGATGATGACGCAAATGATGAAGATGCAACTGATGATGCTGGATACTGATGCTGATGCTGATGCTGATGATGCTGATGCTGATGCTGCTGCTGATGGTGAGGATGAGGAGGAGGATGAGATGGGGACGAGGAGGAGGAGGAGGAGGAGGAGGAGGAGGAGGAGGAGGAACGGATAATGGGAAGAAAGTGATGCGGGCAGGGAGGATGGGGAGATGGAGGGATGGGGGGGACGCAGATTGGAAGAAAAGGGGAGGCGAGTTTCCTCTTCCATTGTCCCTCTTCCCCTTCGGGGGGGGGGTGCCCCTCCCCCTCCCCCGTCCCCCTGGGTCTGGACGGGGGGCCTTTCGCGAGGGGGTGGAGCGTCCAAGATGGCCTCGGCGAGGAAACCACGATCACGGATTGTCCTAAGGTTTTGGTCACATGTTGTCCTGCTGGGTGGCGGTGCTAACTGATGAGGTCGCCTCCTTGGATCGATCTTCTCCAAGATGGCCCCCGAGGCCCCCAAGAGTGCTCCAAGAGGCGCCCAGGAGGCCCCAAGAGGCCCCCGAGATGCCCCCCAAAAGCCCCAACAGAACGCGAGAAGCCCCGAGATCAATGATTTTACATGTTGTTGGACACGTTTTGGCATCCGGGGGGGAGAGTGCGCCGTTCGCGCGAAATCCGCGGCCGTTCGAGCGAAATCGTTTCGGCGCGTGCGCGCGAAAAAGGATGAAGGGATGAAGCGCTGTGGATTCCTCACTGATCCTCATCCTGACCTCCTCTTTTCTGATATCCCCCTCGTCCTCCCTTTCCTCCTCCTCCTCCTCCTCCTCCTCCTCTTCCTCCTCCTCCACCTCCTCCACCTCCTCCTCCTCCTCCGCCTCCGCCGCCTCCTCCTCCTCCTCCTCCTCCTCGGCCTCCGCCTCCGCCTCCGCTTCCGCCTCCTCCTCCTCCTCCTCCTCCTCCTCCTCCTCCTCCTCCTCCTTCGTCTCCTCCTTCGCCTCCTCCTCCTCCTCCTCGAGCGCCCAGCGTGGGGCACGGGAGCCGCGGCTCCGCTACTCCCTCGCCCCGCGACTAGCAGGAACCGTGATTCCTGCGCAGCCCAAGCAAGACAAAATGTCCACGCCCATGGGCCCAGCAACTGGCGGGGACCGGGATTTCCACACGTTCCGGACAGGAATATCAAAAATCCCGAGCCGCCGCCCCCCCGAGCGGCGACCGCCCGGATGGCGGGAACCGGGATTTTGGAGAGATCGAGCCTGCATGGATAAGCCCGAAATCCCGGTTCCCGGCTCCGTCGGGCGCCCTGACGGCGAGCCCCTGCCCCCGCGACGGGATTTTGGAGAGAAAGCCCGAAATCCGGGTTCCCGGCTCCGTCGGGCGCCCCGCGGGCCCCTATGCCCCCGCGAGCGGCGACCGCCGGAATGGCGGGAACCGGGATCGAGCCTGGAAAAGTCCGAAATCCCGGTTCCCAGCTCTGGCGGGCGCCCAGCCCGGGTGACCCTCTGTGCATTTCTGTGTCTCTGTGTTCCTCTGTGTCTCTCTGTCCCTGTGTTTCTCTGTGTCCCTCTGCGTCTTTCTGAGTCCCTCAGTGTCCCTCTGTGTCCCTCTGTGTGCCTCTGTGTCCCTCTGTGTGCCTCTGTGTCTCTCTGTGTTTCTCTGTGTCTCTCTTTGTCCCTCTGTGAGTCTCTGTGTCCCTCTGTCTCTCTGAGTCCCTCTGTGTCCCTCTGTGTCCCGCTGTGTTCCTCTGTGTCCCTCTGTCCCTCTGTGTAGATCTGTGTCTCTGTGTCTCTCTGTGTCTCTCTGTGTCTCTCTGTGTCCCTCTGTGTCCCTTTGTGTCCCTCCGTGTCTCTCTGTGTCCCTCTGTATTTCCGTGTCTCTCTGTGTCCATCTGTGTTTCTCTGTGTCCCTGTGTGTGTTCTCTGTGTCCCTTTGTGTTTCTCTGTCTCTCTGTCTCTGTCTGAGTCCCTCTGTGTCTCTCTGTGTCTCTCTGTATCGCTCTCTGTCTCTCTGTGTCTCTCTGTGTCCCTCTGTATTTCTCAGTGTCTCTCTGTGTCTCTTTGTGAGTCTGTGGGTCTCTCTGTGTCTCTTTGTGTCTCTCTGTGTCACTTTGTGTCCCTCATCACCCGGGTGACTCCAACCTAAGACCCATGGAGGCCCAACCGGAAAGAAAAAAAAAATGGGGCGCGCCGAAGAACCCAGGGGGTCCGGTTTCCGCGGAGGAAAGAAAAAAACCCTGGCGATGGGGTTCGAGCACGGGGGTTACCCCCCCCTCAAATTCCGGAAGAGGAATGAACTCCCAGCCGCGGGGGTGCCCGCGCGAGGGGTCCCACCCCCCCAAGCGCAACCAGAGGAAGAAAAGCGTGAGAGCCGAGACTGTAAGTGCAATGCAACAACACCTTAATCGCGGTTGCACTAGGGATTTGTAGTAGTACGGGAACAACTGAATTACAGCCGGTGAGGTTTGGGTTCGGGTTCGGGCTTATAGATTGGGAACCCAGTATATTGGAAACGCAATATATTGGAAACTCAATATATTGGAAACCCACTATATTGGAAACCCTATATATTCGAAACCCAATATATTAGAAACCCGATATATTGGAAACCCAAAATATTGGGAACCCATTATATTAGGAACCCAATACATTGGAAACCCAATCTATCGGAAACCTAATACATTGGAAACCCAATACATTTGAAACCCATTATATTGGAAACCCAGTATATTGGAAACCCAATATATTGGAAACCTAGTATATTGGAAACCCAATATATTGGGGTTCAGGGGTTCCAACGGCAACGCGCGCGGGGAAGAAGGAAAGAAATCCATGCGCCGCCAGGGGTCCCGGGTTTAAACGGGTCGCCGCGAAGGTTGACCACCCTCGGAAAGAAGAAAAGAAATCCGGCCGGGGGGTTGGGGGGTTGAGGGATGAGTCACGGGGGCGATTGTCCCTCTGTGTCCGTCTGTGTCCCTCTGTGTCCCTCTGTGTCTCTCTGTGTCTCTCTGTGTCTCTCTGGGTCTAAATGTGTCTCTCTGTGTCTCGCCCTGTCCCTCTGAGTCCCTCTGTGTCTCTCAGTGTCTCGCTGTGTCTCTCTGAATATCTCAGTGTCTCTCTGTGTCTCTCTGTGTCCCTCTGTGTCTCTCTGTGTCTCTCTGTGTCCCTCTGTGTCTCTCTGTGTCTCTCTGTGTCTCTCTGTGTCCCTTTGTGTCCCTCTGTGTCACTCTGTGTCTCTCTGTGTCTCTCTGTGTCTCTCTATGTCTCTCTGTGTCTCTCTGTGTCTCTCTGTGTCTACCGGTGTCTCTCTGTGTCATTCTGTCTATCTGTGTCTTATGTGTCTATATGTGTCTATATGTGTCTATATGTGTCTATATGTGTCCCTCAGTGTCTCTCAGTGTCTCTCTGTGTCTCTCTGTCTCGCTGTGTCCCTCTGTGTCCCTCTGTGTCTCTCTCTGTCTCTCTGTGTCTCTCTGGGTCTAATTGTGTCTCTCTCTGTGTCTCTGTGTGTCCCTCTGCGTCCCTCAGAGTCCCTCTGTGTCCCTCTGTGTCTCTCTGTGTCTCTCAGTGTCTATCTGAGTCCCTCTGTGTCCCTCTGTGTCTCTCTGTGTCTCGCTGTGTCTGTATGTGTCTCTCTGTGCCTGTTTGTGTCTCTCTGTGACTGTCTGTGTTTATATGTGTTCATATGTGTCTATATTTGTCTGTCTGTGTCTATAAGTGTCTATCTGAGTCTCTGTCTGTGTCTCTCTCTGTGTCTCTCTGTGTCTTTCTGTGTCTATATGTGTCTATGTGTCTCTCTGTGTTTCTCTGTGTCTATATGTGTCTTTCTGTCTATATGTGTATCTCTGTGTTTCTCTGTGTCTATATGTGTCTTTCTGTATATATGTGTCGCTTTGTGTCTCGCTGTGTCTATGTGTGTCTCTCTGTGTCTATCTACGTAGCGTTCGCTGGTTGCGTTTTCGCTTGAACGAACCAGCTTGTCGCTTGGAAAAGCATCTTTTCACTTTAACGATCTGCCCTAATCCGGGGGAGGGGGCTCATTGACTATGGCCCCTCTTTTGATCGATCTCCTCCTGGATGGCCCCAAGATGGCCCCCGAGGCTCCCAAGGGTGCCCCCTGGAGGGTCCCACTGGATGTCGTCGATCCTTGCTTTGTACAGCTGCTGTCCCGCGTCGGGGTCTGAGGGCTCTGGCCATTGGCGCGGCTCTGGCCGTTGGCGCTGCCGCGTGTTCTGGCCGCAGGTCTCCAGCGAACCGGCCCCGCTGTCCTGGCCAGAGGGCTCGCAATCTGCTCGCGACAGGTCCGGTTGCACGCCTGGCGGGGCCCTGCGGGGAGGGGCCGCATTGTTGGTCGCCGGGCAGGGGCCGGATCGCCTCCGGCAGCCCGGGCGGACGCTGCCCTGTGGCGTGCGGGGAGAGGCCTCTTTCGCTGGCATTCGCCGTCGGGCCTGTGCCCGCCGTCGCTCACGGGCGCGCCCACTTTGGTCAACGCGGGGCCCCCGCCGGTCTCGGGGGCGCCGCTGGTCGTGCCAGGAGCGCGCACGTACGGCGACGCCGTTTCCTTTGCCGAGCACAAACTTCTTCGTCAGTCGTGCCATGGGCGTCTGGAGGGAGCGCCAGAGGTTCGCCGCCCGTTAGAGTGGGTTCACTGCCAGGGGAGGGGGGGCGAATAGGCGCGAAGGGTTTCTCCCGACGAGCCGGCGGATGGCTCCGATGTCCTCCGTCTGAACGGCTGGTCCGTGGTCCCCCTGTTGGGTCTGTGGCGTTCCCAGAGGACTGCTGACGGCCTGCTTATTTTGTGGAGGAGGTGGGGGTGGCACGCTGTGTCTGGCGAGCCCCTGCTGGTCCAAGATCTCGCTTAGCGGACTGTTGCGGCTGTTGTCCGCGCTATCGGGGGCCAACCCCTGTCCACCCGGTTCTGCTCCAGGGACCCGGGTGTCGGCTTGTGCCTCTTCCGCACCTTCAAAGGCCTCCGCCGCTTCGGGCCCCCGATACTCCGCGGCCTCCGCCGCTTCCGCCCATTCCGCCGCGGCCTCCCTTTTCTTTTCCCTGCCATGCCGCTGCTGCTGGGGGAGCAAGGGCACCTCCTTGTGACCTTCGGAGGGAGTGTCTTGAGGTGTCGTGGGGCCCTCGTCACCAGGGGTGCCGCTGACGGCCGTCTGAGCTGTTGTGAGTCTCTGTTCGCCAGGGTTGCCGCTGGCTGCCGCATGAGTGCTCGAAGACTCTTCGCCTGTGTCTTCTTGCCCAGTCTGCTGAGCTGTTGTGGGTCTCTGTTCGCCAGGGTTGCCGCTGGCTGCCGCAAGAGTGCTTGAAGACTCTTCGCCTGCGTCTTCTTGCCCAGTCTGTTGGCCGTCAGGGGTGCCCGGAAGGGCGTCAGGGAACGGGGGTACCTCCTTCCGACCCGCTCCGTTCCCTTCCCCTGTGTTCTGCTGCTGCTGCTGCAGCACCTGTAGCTGCTGCTGCGGCTGTGGTTGGGGGTGCTGCCGATGTTGCTGCCGCTGCTGCTGCTGCCGCGGCTGTTGCTGCTGCTGCTGATGCCCTGCTGCTGCGGCTGCTGCTGTTGTTGCTGTTGCGGCTGCAGTTGCAGCAGCTGCGGCTGATGCTGCAGGTACTGCTGCTGCTGCGGCTGCTGCCGCTGCCGCTGCTGCTGCGGCTGTTGTTGCTGCTGCTGTCGCTGCTGCCGCTGCTGCTGCTGCTCCTGCAGCTGCAACTCCTGCTGCTGCTGCGCGGCTGCCGCGGCCGCCGCCGCCGCGCCAGCGGCTGCGGCGGCCGCGGCGGCCGCGGCGGCGCCAGCTGCGGCGGGCCTATGGGCGGCCGCGCGGGCCACGGCGGCCGCGGAGCCGGCCGCGTGGCCCGCGGCCGCCGCGGCGGCCGCCTCCGCCACGGCGGCGGCGGCGGCGGCGGCGGCGGCAGCCGCGGCGCCGGCGGCCATAGGGGCGGCGGCGGCGGCGCCGGCCGCCCAACCCGCGGCGCCGGCCCCGGCGGCGCCAGCGGCGCCCGCGGCGCCAGCGGCACCAGCGGCGCCGGCGGCGCCCGCGGCGGCGCGCTGGCGGCGGCGGCGGCGGGCTGCGGGCGACTCGAATGGCGTCGCCTGCCCGCCCGGTAACCAATGCCACCCTCGCCAGGCAGCGTCCTGCGGCAGTGCCCCGCCGCGGCCGCCGTCTCCATGCCAGTGAACTGCCGCGGCAGCCGCACCCGCCCACGGATCGGTCGCCTGCAGCGGGTCCGCGGCGCGCCAGCGGCGACTGTGCCACGACATAGCGGCCGACGCGGCCGCCGCGAGAGCGGCCTGCTGCTCTGGACTCGAGCCAGAGCGGCTTGAGCCAGGGGGGCTACGGACCCTGGTGGGGATAACTACGTGAAGCGTCTAGAATTGCAATGGAAGCGGCCTCCCGAGACCACCATCCCTAGTTAATTACTACAGACGCGCGCAAGCAACAAGCCAGCCAACATCCCAAATCAACCGCCAATCATCTATTCAGATAACGAGCCAATCAGCCGAGTTGCCAGCCAGCCAACAAGAAAACCAACCAATGAACCGAACAAGAGAGTCCACACAAGCAATCCGAGGGGGGGGGGCTGGCGGCTGGCGGGAGAAGGCGAAGCCCTTCAAATAAATTCAGAAGAAGAGAAGTCGGGAACCTGGGAGAACCGGCGGGTCTGGAGGACGTACGGTTGAAGGAAAAAACTATGCATCAACAACGAACGCTCCGACGACAAAGAACCGAATTCCCCCCCTCCACCCCCGGCCTTAATATTGGAATGTACTACGACGATCGAGATCTTGGACTCCATTTTTTTATGGCCGCTCATCTCCCGGACCAACTGCTCAATAATAAGGCCGGGGGGGTTCGGGGGGGTGCACTCTTTTCTTATGGCATCTTCGAGCCCAGACAAATCAGGGCACAGCCGGTCTTGCACAGAGGGGGAAAGGAGGAGGGGGAGGAGGAAGAGGAGGAGAAACAGAGGCGAGCTCTCGCGCGGGCGACACAGCGGACCGCTGATGACGCCGCCGCCGGCGGTGACGGTGGATCCCGCCATCAGGGGAAGACCCCATTCTCGAGAGAGATGGTCCTCATATGCCAGCCGCCGTGGGGGTGTATTCGAAGTGGTCCCCCAACTCTTGATGCAAAAGTTTCCCTTCAATGGCAGCGGGCGCCGCGGCCGGCTCCCAAGCGTTCTGGACTGCGCCGAGAGCGTTCCGGAGCGCTCTCAGAACGATATGCCCTCATCCCAGGCCTGCCCTTAGGTCGGGCATGTCCTCCTACAGGTGGATTTAGGAGGAAAGACAGGAAAGGGTCAACAACAAATCAAAAATGGTCGCAAAATCGTCCCTAGATTTGTTTTCGACTATTTTTGAATATTCCTCCTGTAGAGGGACATGCCCGACGTACGCCTGCCCAGACCCTTGCACCCCCCCTCTTGCCTGGCCTCCTGGATCGAGCGACAGCTTCTGGGCGGCGGCCTCCACTCCGCACCTGGCCGCGGCTCCGGGCGGCGGGCGCGGCCAGGGCAGGCGCGGGCGGCTCACAGTGTGGCCTCCCCACCTGGGCGATCGACACTTTGACCGTGCCCCTACCGCCGCTCCAGCCCCACGAGGCCCAAGAGTGGGCACATGAGCAAAATTCGAACCACCAGGGGCCGACGTCTATGTCCTGATCCCCTCGGCGCCCGAAGCTGGGGGCGGCAGCAGGGGCATGATCGAAGCGTCCATCCGACTGCCCGCATTCCCACTGCTGGTGGACTCTTGCGACCTGCACCAAAGCAGCATCTGCAGATATCTGCAGCAAGTCAGGCTCTGTTTATATCTAAGTTTAGCCAGCGTGGACCCGAAATAATGATTTCCTACTATCTATGCGGTACAGTCTAGGTGGTGCAATTTATTTTTACCCATGATTTGACACATCCCACGCTCTTGCAAACATCCCACCCATCCACCCGCAATTTGGTTTACTAAACCTCTTAAGACCGACTGCGACGACACCGACGACAACGACTACGACGACACCGACGACGTCTCCGACGACTTCGACGACGACGACGACAACGACGCCGACGCCGACGACGACGACGACGAAGACGACGACGACGTCGCCAACGAAGACGACGACGAGGGAGGAGGGAGGACGACGACGGCGACAACGACGACAACGACGACAACGACGAGGGAGGAGGGAGGACGGCGACGACACGAACGACGAAGAAGTAGGAAGGACGGCGACGCCGACGACGACAACGACGAGGGAGGAGGGAAGACGACGACGACGACAACGACGACGACGACGACGACGACGGCGACGAAATAGGAGGGACGACGACGAGACGCCGACGACGGACGACGACGGTGACGAGGGAGGAGGAGGAAAGACGACCACGGCGACAACGACGACGGAAACGACCACGACGCCAATGAGGACGACGACGACGACGAACACGAGGAAAGACAGAGGACGACGTAGGCGACGACGTCGACGACGACGCGGGAGGAGGGAGGACGGCGACGACGACGACGACGACGCAAGAGCGCGCGCGCACGCTTTTGTTGAAAATCCGTGTTGCGAAACCTTGTGTTTTTCTAGGTTTTTTGAAACCACGATTTTGAAATCCTTCCGAAACCGATGGGTTTTGAAGGTTTTCGGCATACGCGCGCGACGACGCGCGCGTCTGCACTTCGTCACATTTTTTCCACAGGATTCTCGCGACGGCACACGCGCAAGGGCGTTCGACAGATTTCGACATGCGCGCGTGAAGCCTGTTTGATAGCATGTTGTGAGAATCTTGAATAACCTATGGTTTTCTTAAGATTTCGCAAGAGCTCGCGCGAAAGTTGTTTTAGCAAATCAGTGTTGCGAAACCCTGTGTTTTTGTATGTTTTTTGGAAACTCGATTGCGAAGTCCTTCCGGCACTGAAGGTTTTTAAAGGATTTCGGCATGCGCGCGCGACGACGCGCGCGTGTGCACTTCGTCCAATTGTTTGCAAGGGATTCGCGAAAAAGTCTTATGTTAGAACAAAAACTGTCCCCGCGTATCGTTTCTTACAAAAGAACCTCAGGGGGACCGATCCCGGCCCCTCCGGGATAGTGTAAATTCATATTTAGGATGGACATGTGATCATATTCAGATATGATTCACATATCCGAAAGGGGGGCGGATAACGCCGGGGGGGGTAGAGTCTATTCTCTTTTTAGAAAGGAAAATCAATGTGGTGCAATCTAGGTTGTGCAATCCATGTGATGCAATCCATGTGGTGCAATACACAGCAACTCAAAGCAATGCGATCGCAAAGCAATGCAGAACAATGTGAAGCAATGCAAAACTATACAAAGCAACGCAACGCAATGCAAAACAAATCAAAACAATTCAAGCCAATCAGAAGCAATGGAAAGCAACGCAACGTGAAGCAATGCAACGCACTGCAAAGCAATGGAAAGCAACGAAAAACAATTCAAAACAATGCAGCGCAATGCAGAACAATGCAGAGCGATACAATGCAAAGCAATGCAAAGCAATGCAACACAATCCAATGCGATGGCACTGCCATGTAACGCAATCCAGAGCAGTAGAATGCAAAGAAATGCAGAATAATGGAAAGCAGTGCAAAGCAACGTAATGCAGTTCAAAGCACTGCAAAGCAATGCTATTGAACAACCATGCAACGCAATGGGAAACAACGTAAAGCAATGCGAAGCAATGCAAAGAAATGCGAAGCAATGCAGAGCAACGCATTGCAATGCCCACAAATGTAAAGCAATGCGCAGCACTGCAACGCAATGCAAAGTAATTCAACGTGCGAGCCTCGCATGATCAAAATCGTGACCAAGGACGGCGGCGACGGGCGGCCACAGGCTGGCCAGACCGACAACCATCCCAGTTCCTTCGAAGGGAAATGAGAAATCCTAAGTGCAAACGCTGTTAGGGGAAAATCAGCGCCAATGAATCGGATAGACAGTTTGAACGCCGTGGATGCTCTCAACGGCCACGTCCTCGCACGAGCTCGCATCGCCATCGGGTAGTTAGTCGAAACAGAAACTGGCCGAATGTATTCCATCTTAATTGAACGCATCCGAACAATACCTCTAGACAGATCAAGAACTATGCCTTCCCCAGTGAAGGCCTGATGCAACATGTTCTTCGAGAGTTCGCAAGTTTCCGATTTGCAGTTCCTGAAGCGAAGCATGCAAAGAGATAAACTTTCCTGCCCCACCTCCGATTATCGAACACACTGTGAGAAACCGGATGCGCCCTGAGCCTCGCGCCGAGGGGGACGCCTTTCATTCAGGACCTCGTGGACATGGTCTGTCGTTCGCGCGGTTTCTGAACGGCCCATCCCCCAGACAATTTTTACAACATCCCGGACATATCTGGAGGCCTACGTACTCCATTCTTTCTGAGAACAAATTGTATGATGTATTCGACCCTCCGTGCGACCCTCCCCCGCTGCCAAGGGCGCACCTGGCAGTCACCTCTGCCTGCAAGGCGCCGAACGTGGAGCCAGCCGGCAACACGATGCGAGAACGCCCCGCAGGAGTCGAAAGGCGGACGGTGAACCGCAGGGCCCAGAAAGGGCCAAGAGTCACAAATTCGTGAGTAGGTGGAAAGGTGAGGTTTTTCCCTGTTGGCCTGTCTGGGCGTTGGCAATCATGGACATAGCGGCGGACCTACTGACGAATCAGGTCAGCCGATGCCGTATGTTTGCATCCCGCTGGAGAGCTGAGTGTGTGCACATGTTTGGTTTAGTGCCCTGGCATTCGAAAAATAGAATTGCTTCAGCCACAGACGATCACTGAAGCTGAAGCAGCACGAACGAAGATATCAAAGTTTAATAACTTTGGGCTCGGTGCTGCACTCTAGCTTGGCTGAAACGTCGCGTGGCAATGGTGGATATTCGTCGCGGTGATCATCTCCAACTCTCAAGGCCGCAACTGTGCCTGGCACGCGATCGATTACTCTGGTGGCGGTTCCTGTCAGTGACTTGGTGTCCCTGTCCTCCGCCTGCACTGTCAACTTCGAGCTGCCTCGCCTGGTCGAGTCCGAGCATCTCCACTGCTTCAGGCCGCCACTGTGGGAACTGGCGGCAACAAGCGACCTCTGGCGAGGTGGACGGAACAACAACTACGTAAACAAGTAGAGCTCCGACAGCCCGCAGGGTGGGCTGAGGCGGGGGGGAGTTGGGATCGCCTCAAGATGGCCCAGAAGTCTCAAAGAGGACCCCGAAACGACCCAAGAAGGCCCCCAGACAGCCCAAGAGGCCTCCAAGACGGCCCAGGAGGCCTCCAAGACGGCCAAGGAGGCCTCCAAGACGGCTCCCAGAGCGTCCCCAGACAGGGGACTTGAAAGTAGCTTTGGAACATTCGGCCCCAGAGCCTCCCAGGAGGCCCCAAGATGTCCCCAAGAGGCGCCCCAAAAGGCCCCCAACAGGCCATCAGGAAGACCCAGAGGGTCCCACAAGACCCCCAAGAGACTACGTAGACCCTAGAGGACCCCCCCTCCACGTCCACCTGCTCCATCTCCCTGTCCTCTTCGCGTACAGGGTCGGCGGCACCGGCCGTAAAGCTTTCACAGGGTGGGCGGGGGGAAGAGAAAAATTGGGGATTAGAAGCAGGAGGAGACGGAATGTCATCTTCGTCCTTCTGCACTTTCTCCTCCCCCTGCCCTCCTCCTCCTCCTCCTCCTCCTCCTCCTCCTCCTCCTCCTCTTCCTCCTCCTCCTTGGGGGGGAGGATTCAGGGCCAAGGCCCCGCTCGTGGCTGCTCATCCTGTCCTGCGATTTTGGCCGTCACCAGCGCCGCTGTGAATGCTCGAGGAGGGGCAACGAAAGAGGCAAGATCGGTCCGCATCGAATCGGCTTGGCCGCGCGGGGATGCACCACGACGCCATGCGAACCTCGGACCGCACTGGATCTTCAGGATATCGAAATCGGCTCGGATGGAGCTGGACAGAACCGATATCGGATCGTACCGATTGAGTCGGAATGGGCCCTGACGAGGAAAGAGAGAGAGAGGGAGAGAAAATGGAGAGGACGGAGGATGAGTAGAAGGGTCAGGGGCGGGAGCAGCAGGATGAGGAAAACAGGGGAGGAAGGAAGAGCAGGAGGAGCAAAAACACGAGAAACGTGGGGATACGAGGAGGGCGAGGGAGGTAGGAGAACTGAGAAGGCCAGAGGTACCTAGCAATTACAATATGACCGTCTGCCATGTGTCAAACCACAAGCCGAGCACGGCGACATATGTTGGATGTGCGTCCTTGCGTAGCTCGAGGCGGGAAATACATGAAGCTGTGTAGACTCCAACAAGGTAAAGTCTGTGCTGGAGAAGCGGGGATTGGGCGCGGAGAGTGCGCATGGGACGCGGGGCCAGCCTTTGGAGACTGGGGAGAACTGCCCTCGGCAACCAATTCGCGGCATCGCTGAATGCGGCATCACCGTGTCAGGTGGCATGGTCGCTTGTGCCCTCGTGCTTCACGCGTGACACGACGAACTTGATGGAGGCCGCTTCTCACGTCCGAGCACAGGTCTAAGGCGTGTTCTGACACTTTCCGAGCGATGCAATGCTCTAGACTCTCTCTTCCATGACGCCCTGTGGATGCAACCGCCATAGTGCCAGCTCTCTTGGCCCGCGCCAAGGAGCCCTCGCGTTTGCAACGTCTGGGGCCTCGCCCTGGACCGCTTGGATGCCTGATCTTCGCTGGCACATAGCGATCGGCCAAAGACGATGGCGTGGTGTCCCATAGGTGCCCTTCCAGCTCACTGTCGCTGGCACGTCGTCCACGATTTCCTGGAGAGGGGTACGGCGAGGCGGTCCATGGTGGCCACTTGAACCTCGCCGGCGAGGCCTCGCGTCCGCCGCATCGAACTTGGGTGGCAGCTGCTGTTGGCCCAAGCGAGAGACGCATCGGGCGTCTTCAAGTCTCCCCTCTTAACTCCGAGCCACGCTACAGCCATCGTGCTGCCATAAGAAACCCTGAGTATGGAACCAAGGAGCTTTTCTGGTCACGGCGAGCCTCGGCTTCGAATAGGCTCCCCGACCTAGACCCAAGGAACGGCCCGAAAACAAGAGCCCCTCCTGAGCCCGAAAGTGTCCTGTCAACGTCTTGGCTGTGCTTAGTCGGCTTGCCCAAGACGGCGACGACCTCACGCCACGTGGCTCAGAAGAGTGATATGCTCTTTCTAACATGCCAAGGCCGAATCCTGGGGGGCTCGTCGGCGAAGACGGTCCCATCTCTGAGCCCCCAACCCGTCAAGAAACTTAGCGCGGTACGGCAAGGGAGCATGGGTAACGGCCGCTCTCAAGGCCGAATCCTGAGGGGCTCGTCGACGAAGAAGGCCCGATCCCTGAGCCCCCGAAGTTTGGCGCGGCACGGTGAAGGATCATGCGGAACGGCCGCAAGCCACTGCCACTACTTTTGGTTATCCGCCACCGTGCCCTTGAGGCACGAGTTGGAGTGCTGCCCTCAGGTTTTTGGCCTAACCCCTTAAGCCTGTCCTCGATCCTGAAGACTCTTTACAAGGCCCGTGCCCCCTGGGGCTCCCCGCGTAGCTCCTGGGTCTCTAGAGGCCTCCTAGATGGGGTCGGAGTAGATGGGGTCGGAGGACCGCGCCGCATCGCCAATACATCGACGATACATCGGCGATGCATCGGCGATGCATCAGAGATGCACCGGTGATGAGGCGTCGACGTCGGCGATGTATCGGCGACGTCGGCGTGGGGAAAATCAGGCTCCGCATCGAGCCGCATCGTCGATGCATCGGCGATGTGGCGCGACCCTCCGACCCCATCTACTCCGACCCCATCTAGGAGGTCTAGAGTCTCCTCGCGTGGCCCCTGGGGCCCGGGGCGTGCTCCCGCATGACTGCTGCGGGGCCAGGAGAGCCCCAAGACAGGTCCACGAGGGTTTCGGATCCCCGCGCGATCCGTCCAGTTCGCCCTGAGGACGGCCCAGGAGGCCTTCGAAGAGAGCCCCAAGAGCCTTCCCAAGAGTTTCCGAGAGGCCAAACTCATTCATGTTCCTCGGGCTTCTCAATGTTTTTGGGGTCCTCGACTTTTCGAGCTCCCAACGCTCCAACACGGCCCAAGAGGCCCCCAAGAGGGCCCCAAACCCAGACGGCCCAAGAGGGTTCCAAGACGACCCCAATGGCGCCCAGAATTGTGCTTCATGATGTTTGCATGTGCTCTTTTTGGGCCTTCGGATTCGGAAAACAAATGCGCGGAATGACTCAACATCAGGCGAGCAGGCTTAGGTGAAGACTCACTGCGTTCACAACGACGACCGAAGTAGCATGCGCGACCGCCCAAGCCAGACCCATCGTAGGCCGAAAGAGTTCCACGATGGCTCCAACACTTCGACGACTCCCATAACGACTCCAGGCAGTCTCAAAACCAATATGCGAGACTTCCGAAATAACTCTCAAACGAACTTCCTGAGTCCTCTTTAGGGTCACTAGCATTGTTCTGTGGTGGTTCAAACTCTTCGTCTCTGGGCATCTGGTCCCAGAAAGGTTTGCGCGCCAGTCCGGGGAACACTTTGCCTAATACGCCCCGATGGCGATCCCAGACGCTTTCAAGACAGCTCCGAGAAGGTCCGACGACCAACAACGAGGCGCCGAAGACGCCTCATATGGCTCATACTCTTCGTTCTCGGTCGCCTGGTCCCCGAAAGGTTCCCGCGCCAGTTCGGGGAACACAGCCTCCTTTGAAACGACCGCGGCCTTCTTTTGTCCACAGATACATTCTTCGCGGCCCAAATGCTCATGGGCACACTCGGGCAGCGCTGGGGTCCCGGTGGCCCAAGATGGACTCGAAGATGGTCCAAGAGGGTCCAAGATGGCTCCGAGTCCGCCCAAGAAGCCTTCCAATATGGCCCAAGAGGCGTCCAAGACGGCCCAAGAGGCCTCCAAGAGGTCCTCCAGGAGGGCCCGAAGAGGCAAACATCATTGATTCCCTTTAGGTTTTTGAAGGATTTGGGCATTTGCTTCTTTTCGGCCTTCTGACAACCCAAAACGGCCCAAGAGGTCCTCCTCCTACTCCTCTTCCTCCTCTTCCTCCCTCTCCTGATCCTCCCCCCTCTTCCAAGCGTTCCCCTAAGAGATTCCAGAACGGCTGGGGGAACACATAGTCCGATGGCTTGGCCAAGCTGGGGTCCAACGTTTGGCCACAGAGGCGCTTCCCAGATGGCAATGGGGCGGCGGTGATTCGCGGTAGGCGTTTTCGATCTACGATCCAGGGTCAAGGGTTCACAGGCCCCCCCCCAAGACTGGATGGGTCCCAGGCCAGGCTTCGCAGGCCTCCACCTCCTGATGGGATTGGGGGGGACGACGACGACGACGAACGACGCCGACACCGACGCCGACGCCGACGCCGACGATCACGACACGCTCACATGGCCACGATCATAGCGGGGGGACCCACCGCGCGGGGGGGGAGCCCGATCCCCTTAGTATTTGAGAGGGGGGCCGGAGCCCTGGGTCATATATGTGCATCGCCGCTTCGGAGGCATGCCCCATCGCAGAACGCAATAAGCAAAAGGTCAAGTAAGAGTCACCCGTACACAGGCGTGAAGAACTGCAATCAGCGTCACATCATATCATGCGACTGCACCACTGCGATGGTCTGTCAAGAGAGCTGATGCTCTAAGCGACTTTGCACCCGACGCCAGTGGACGGCCGCGTCACATCCACGATGCTGCCATGCGTGTTAGGCAATAGGCTCGCGCAACTTGGGCGGCCGAGCCGTCTTGACCTCGCCAGCCTGGCTTTCTCCTGCACGGAGCCGTCCCTCACTATTTGGCCCGTAGTCCAGATCACGGAGGTGATCCCTGCATGCTTCGGCATAGGTCCCCAAGTCGGCGCACCAATCCCCGCAAGCTCAAATACCGTTGTGACTGGACGGCCAGCCATCCCGACCTGCTCCACATCGATAGCGATGAGCTCCTCCTCGGCGTCAGTCATCGTCAAATGAAAACATATGGAAGCTGTGATATAATTGCCATGTGCGTTGGGAGCGCGATCGGAACAGTCCATGCGATGGCCGATCTTGGCTATCTTGCTGGGGATGTGGCCCTTGAAAATCGGACAGACTCGATCGTAGGGCTCGGTCGAGGCTTCTAATTTCAAGTCATCGGCATCGTGCAGGTGCAGCTCTGATGGATTTCCGACAACAGATCCCTCTTCTCAAAACCTATGGAAACAGCATCTTGTGAAGTATCCATGTGAAAGGGCATATGCGGATGGAGAGGAAGAGGAAGAGGTGAAAGAAGAATGCAGGGGGAGGAACACGAGGTCCGCCGGTGGCACCAGCAGACCCAAGCGCGGACATCAACGGTGGCACCACGGGATCTGGATGCAGAGCCCAGAACCTGCCCCCAGACAACCTCCGCCGCCAGGGAGACGGGAGCGAGGATGAATGGAGGGAGGCATCAGGGAAGAAGGGAAGGGAGCGAGGGAGGGAAAAAGAGAAAGGGAAAGGCACGGGATAGGATGGGATAGGGCAGTGAGGGGGAGAAGGGAGGGGAGGAACCGATGGGAGACAAGGAGAAGGGCTCGTGCGCTGGACCGGAGGACTGCCGCAGGTGTGGCTCAAGCGCCAGGCCCCTGGGGGCCGCTCACGCCAACTGACGGCTGAACGTCCTGGGGCAGCTCCAGCGGCAATCCCCCTAAATCCTCCCTTCATATCCCTTCATTCCCGCGTTCCCTGCTCCCTCTCTCCTCTTGCTCCTATTTCCCCCCTCCTCCTCCTCCTTCTCCTCCTCCTCCTCCTCCTCCTCCTCCTCCTCCTCCTCCTCCTCCTCCTCTCTCTCCTCCTTCCCCTGGGTCGGCTGAAAGGCGGAGCCCTCTGCATATCCTGTGACATTGCCGCCGGGTGCGAATCCCTACTTGGCCACGCGCACGAGGGGGCGGCGCGAGGGGGCGGCCTTCCTGCACAGACGGGGGGCTTCTTAGAAGGCGAGGACCTTCTGAGAGGGTCTCAGAGGCTGCCGGGAATGCTTCTCAGCTGCCTTCTCGGAAGGCCCCCGTCCTCCGAAAAGTCGGGGGCGTCCAAGGGAGGGGCGTCCAAGAGGGGGGGGGAGTTCTGGGACGCTCTGGAAGCTTGCCGCCCCGACCGTCGCTCCTCCTCACTTCTCCTCCCCTTCCGGGCGGGGAGGAGGCCAGTCTCCATGGTCGCAAAGCCGTCTAAGGTGCTGGCTTACGCCAAACGTGCGTCTTCTTTCGCCTCTCCAGGGTCGCTCGTGGTCGTTCCAAGAGAGGGGGGAGTTCTGGTCCGATGCATGTGCGCGGTCAGGGGGGGGGAGTTCTGGGACGCTCTGAAATAAGAAAGGCGCCATGAAATCTGGGATCTGTCACGGCCCTGGCCATGATGTCCACCCCTCCTGATCATCACGCCCCTCTTGGCCACTACCGAACAAGCTTCACTTCGTCCGAATCTCACTTCGCCCGCCTCGATTCATCTGGACAGATCGAAAGAGGACGAAACGAATGCCTCAGGGGAGAGAACGAAAGCGGACGACATGAAAGTCCACCCCGAGAAGGCCGCCCCTCTCGCGCTGACCAACCCTGTGCGCGCCGCCAGCCTACGGGGGGGTCGCTCCGGGGCGCGCGACTGGGCAGCCCCCGAGCCCCGGCCGAGGCCCCTTCTAGGCTGCGGCGGCGATCGTGCGCGGCGCGCCGTTGGCAGGATGGGCCGCGGCTTGCGGGGCCGAGCGGCCTCCTCCTCGCCCTCCTCTTCTTCCTCCTCCTCCTCCTCCTCTTCTCCTCCTCTTCCTCTTCCTCTTCCTCCTCCTCCTCCTCTTCTCCTCTCCTCCTCCTCTTCCTCTTCCTCCTCCTTCTCCTCCTCCTCTTCCTCTTCCTCCTCTCCTCCTCCTTTCTTCCTCTTCCTCCTCCTCCTCCTCGTCCTCCTCCTCCTCCTCCTCCTCCCCCTCCCCCTCCCACTGGTCTCCACGCACCTCCTCCTCCTTCTTCTCCTCCTCTTTCGTTTGCCTAATCGCCATGCCGTCCACGGCGCGTCGAATCGTGAAGGCCAGGGAAGGGAGGGACGTGCACAACTTGGAGGTCAGCGGAACGATACGGGCCCAAGGCCTGGACATCCTGGCGCTGTAGGGTGTTCTCGGGGCTTGTCGCGTGACTTTTTTTTGTTTTGTTTTTTGTTTACCTCGATGCTTCGGGCGCTCGGTGCATAAACCAGCCACGGTGGAGATCGCGGCTGCAATTTGGGATCGCCACGGTAACCCGCCTTCCGCACTCAGTGCTGGGGTGTTCTGGCCATGGCTGACGCCAACAAAAAACACAAAAAGGGTCGTACCGATTCGACATAGCGCCTGTGGGGCGATACGAACTGGTGACATCCGCCACTAGGGGGAAGGAGCGACGGCAAGCCATTCCCCTCCCCATCCCCATACACTCCCCCCCTGTTGGAAGCGTCCGTCACGCGACTATTCGAATCTAAGCGCGCTTCTCTCGCCACTGGCTGTCAAACCGCTAATCCGAGCCGGACGGTGGTCAGCAGCATCCGTGCAAAGAGCGAGAGAAAGAGGGAGCGAGAGAGGGATAGAGAGAGAGAGAGAGAAGGTGACCAGCTGAGCACAGAGGCCGAAACCTGTGATCACATTGAAAATCAATTTCGGATCTCCACAGCAATGCGCCGTACAGGCCGTTCTGCAAGCGCTCGGGCAATGCCTGGCGCCAGAAAGTAAACGTTTCGAACTGATTCGACAAAGCGCCTCGAAGGCAACCAACTGACCAACTGTCTTAGCACCCATCGCGTCAGGACGGAGCAACAGCGAACCATTCCCAACCCACCTTGTTCGTCCGACCCGAGTGGTCCTCGTCGTCCAGCTCTGGTCATCCTCCTCTGCCCCCCCTCTTCCCCCCCCGAGACATCACCCTACTAGCATGCAGCCAACACGCATGGTAAGGATCCACAGTACGAATACCCTTGGGATGTTGCTCATCCCCACCATGCGCGTGGACTGTGGGCAGCGCCGGGCTGTGCCCTAGGCGTGCCGGACCGTCTGGATGTTTGTTGGCCTGCGGCCGCTCCAGCGGAATCCAAAAGACGCATCGAGCGATTTCTGGGAGTGCGCGCGGGGCCAAACCGCGGATTAGGCCTCCAGCTGCTTATAGGTCTGTTGGGGCCTCCAACTGCACAGGCCCCACCCGCTGAAGCCTGCGGCTGCTTAAGCCTACCTCGCGAGGGCACCACTGCCCAGGCCTGCAACCATGTGAGCGCGCGCCGACAATGAGGGGAGACGTAAGACCCTAAAATTGGGAGGCTCCAACTTGCCCGACGGGGCCGTCAGAAAACGGGCTGGACATGTGTGGTCCTCCTCCTCTACGACTGCGATCAGTCTCGTCGCGGCGAGGATTCCCCCCTTCAGGGGACACCGCAGCTTAGGTATTATGATCGCAGCAGAACGGATCATGCTTGAAAAACAAGCTCCCTACGGCAACCCGCATTCCGCATTTACTCGCGAGGCTAGAGGTACTCTGGTAACGGTGTCGAACGGACCAGGACGCCAAAGCCGAGCTTGACCAGACAAGCTTGAAACGTATCCCTGGGTGCGCGAATCCGCCACCGCGCATGCAGTCATGCAGTCTCATGCAGTCTCATGCTGCTGCTGCTGATGCTGTCATCGAGGCACTCAGCACGCCATCTGGCGCTCAGCACTTTACTGCGCAATCTACTGCTAGGGTCGCAGACGTAGCGGTCTGTAAAGAATTCGACCCACAGGTGTAGATGTAGGCCTTGATGGGCGCGTGGCATTCCTTGCGCCAAGCTTGCGTATTCGAAGTCTCGTTCGCCCTGCTGTCTGACCTCGACAGATCCAGCAACTCAATCTGCCTCGCGTTCGGGGCATCCTGGCCACCAATGCTCGCGACACCCCTGAGCGTCTGCATGCTGCAATGGACGCTAAATGGGCAATCCCGTGGTGTACAGTGCGCTTTGAACCAAACGAGCTTGAGCCAAAAATTGCTACGGAGGCTTGTCGCGTGACTTTTGGGGAGGCCTCAGCAGCATGGTTGGGATTGCACACGTTTAGCACGGTGGACGATAGTCCCAAGGCCCGTCCTGGAGACCTCGTGGGCGACTCTAGACTATTTTGGAAGCTCTGGGAGCCGCCAATGAAGCCAAAGTCCTTGAAGAATCCTTGGTTTGCCCAATCAATTTAGCAATGTCGTCTTTCCGTTTCTGCGACCGCCCAGGGCGGCCCGAGAGGCCCCAAAGATCACCACATGACGGCCCCAGAAGCCCGAAGAGGCCCCCAAAACGGCCCCCAGAAAGAAAAACGACGAGGGGGAACGAACGAACGAACGCCGGAGTCGAGCGCGCTCCGCGGGAGATCTCGCCCCTGCCCAGTAGGGCATGGCGTGTAGGCCGTATTCAAAAAGTAACACGTAAACATGTTCATGAGTCCCTGCCTGGGTCTAGTCCCGCTCGGCATCGGCGTCGCAACATTGCCCACCCCAAGCGTCTAAATCTTTCCGGATGTCGTCTTCCCATATGTTCGGTTGCCTTCCGTGTTGTCGGCGTCCTCGTTGTCGATTGCGATTAGGGTTCAAATTCAGCACTCTGACTCTCTGCCTCGTCAAGCGCGTCGGCTCGTGGTGGATGCGTAGTACATCAGGTATGTCATGCTTGAGCATCAGTGCTGCTGCTCTCCGCGTGCTCCTGCGCATGAAATCGGACCACAACTCGACGTCGTCATCCTGGATAATGCCTGGTGTGCCCTCGTCATTGCTCACCTCGTCCTGCGCATCTGGCTGGCAAATTGGTGGTTTGGTGCAGACGCCAAATTCGCTGGAGTCGTTTTGGGCGACGCTGCTGGTGTCATGGTTGT